AGTGAACTAAGTGAACTTTCCTAAGTGAAAACTAACATTTGTTAGAATATTCTTCTTGTTTGCTGGTAGACAAGGGCCTGAAACAGGGGATGCTGGGAGGTGAGGGAAAGAGAAATGCTGCCTCTGTAGAACATGCCAAAAAAAGGAAGAATAATCTTGAATATACGAGCTGGGGTTGAGAATCAGATTCCAGGCCTCAGCTTTGCTTTGAGCCTGGTTGAGTAATCTTAACTAATCCATGTCTTGTGAGTCTCACTTCCTGATATGGAAATATGAACACAGCACTGTCTTTACTCTGCATTGAATCTCTTAGTTAATCCATTTGTGTGGTCAGTCCTTCTGACTGACAAGTTGGACAAGATGGGTAAAACCGTTTGCAGTCACCTACTGTAATGAGCATCTTGCAGCTCAGTGGCACCAGAGCAGAGTTATTCTCCTGAGCTGGAAAGTTCAGGCTCCGCACAGGTCAACATGACACATCCATCCACAGCAGAAGTGGTGTCAGAGCTTGTGGATTTTGCTTCTCTAAAATCAAAATAACTAAATAGAATATTATTTCAAAATGAGTCAATATGGCATCATGTGCAATACATTACTCAGAGTACAGTACTGTGCTGACATCTGGGTCATGGGATCTGCAAAGGATGCCAGAGCCAGGCAGAATGAGCCTTATATATGACTAACCTGAAATGCCAACAGTGAAATTTGTGTCCTGCCACTTGGCAAAATCATCCCTTTCTTTCTAAATGGAGAGGCTCTGTCGAGTTACTGAAATGCAAATATTGAAGCTGGTGATATATTTTCACAGAATAAGCTTGAAGTTTTGTTTGTTTTCCTGAAGACATAAATATGGGTTTTAGCATGTGCCTTGACTACGACACAGCTAAAACCAGATACTACTTATGCTTGAAAATGTCTTCTGTTACATTAAGAACTAAGATGAGGTTAAAGAAGAAAAAAATAAACTGATGATAGTACATGTCTATCCAGCTTAAATTTCTCTCCCAAGACATTTCTCACTTGCATAACAAGTGTGTAATACCAGTCTGTCTCAACTTTGCCTGTAGAATCACATTCTGCTAGTTAATATGAACAAACGGATAAAGCCAGGATGTCTGCATAGATGTCCAGGCTGCTTACCAACATCATGCTGATCTTTTTGCATTCTATGAACATGAGAATTCCCACTTTGGAAAATGTTGCAGAGACTTTTCGCTGCACTTACTGCAACACCGAGGTAGAGGAAGATGGCTCGGTGTTTCCGAAGCACGACGCTCGAACGCTGCTGGCCAAGTTCAACGAGCAGATCGAGCCTCTCTTTGTGCTGCTGCGTGAGACTGAAGGGATTGTGCTGCCCTTAGACTTGCTGGAGCCTCAGCCAACAGAAATACCAGAATTATCAGAAAGGTATGAACACCACCCTAGAACTTCTGATCAATGCAAATGCCCCCAACAACTTACCAGTTGTAAAATCTTTGAAATGCTCAACTTGCAGCCTATGTACTCCATTCTGCTTAGTTCAGTACAGTCAGCTGTTTAATGAAGAAATCTGTAATATTTAAGGCATCCTAAATTATTGCTATATCTTTTTAAATCTTTGATGCATTTTTAAAAGTCATTTATTCACCAGATTACTCCTTCAGCTAATGTTCATAGCCCTTCCTATAAGCAAGTAATATTTCTCTATCAGTGTGCTTCATCCAGAGATGCACTACTGAAGAGACCTTGCAAAAATCAATGGTTCAGAACCATTTACCTCTGAGAGGTAAAAGGGAATGTAAATTATTAGAGCATTTGTTAAAGCTAGCCTGCTAAAAAAACGTGGGTTTGAGGGTTGCTTGTTTGTGATTGTTGTTCAGGTTTTTTTAAATGGGAACTGGGGTGGGGTTGTTGCCTGAATTCTATCTATTCAAAATGTGACACCTCATTCAGCTTTGATCCAAAGCAGGGCTCAAGTGTGCTGGAATCCTGCAGCCGCCCTGAAAAATGGGCACACAGAAGTTCTGCTTTTGGCCTTGCATACACCCAAAATTTAACTATTGATGTCCAAGACTCAAAGCAAGAGAAGAAAAGAAGAGAAAAAGCAACTCAAAAGCAACCTATCTGGTTGTCACAGAGCACTGTGGAAGGAGCAGCAACAGCCACCATCAACAGTGTTGGTAAGTTTAGTGAATTCACCAATTAATTCTGCAGCCTTAGTGTAAATACAGCTTTCCCACTGAAAATCTAGTGAGCTTGGTTTAGAAGATACTGTTTCAATTCTGTGTTAGTGGTTATCAGACCTTATTTTCCAAAATCTAGTTTTAAGACTGGCTGACATTATATTCCTAAAGCCAGAGATCAGATGTGTCCTAAAACTTCTGGCTTTAGCCACACAGTAATTAAGTGGTAATTTTTACAGTGGAAAGCTCTTAGAAATGTCTGTTATTTTCAAGAGAATTCTTGAATTGTGGGTAAAAAAGATCCAGAGTAGAAAAAAATAATCTATGTAGGATGCCTATGGGGTAACTGTAAACACTTGATCCCTCTAACACTAAGTGTTGTTTATTAGGAGTAAATGCTTCTGAAGAAACTGAAGAAAATGTTGAAGAAACTGTCCCTGATAATGAAATCATCAAGACTCTTCTGATCCATGAATCCAAGTCATCGTCTAGCACAGACCAGGCTCCTATGGTCAAAAGCAAACTGCATGGATCACACAGTGATAGCAGTGAGTTTGAAGAGGATGCCAAGCACTCAAGAGGAGCAGGAATGAAACTAGCAGGCAGCAACTTTGAACAAGAGGAGGAACAGGAAACTCTGGATCCTATTTTAATGGTAGCTGGCCAGCCCTACTCATATGGCCAAGTTAGTGAAAACCCAGAGCTTGTGTCTCTAATGACAAATGAAGAGAGAGACACTTACATAAAAATAGGACAGGAAATGTTCCAGTCTGTCTTTGAGTAACTACTTCTGTAAGAATATCGAACCTTGTACAGAATGGATGAAGGCTTCTGATTTATGTTCTTCAAAGTTTACCACTGAAGGGTTTTGTTTGAACTTGCTCTTAAGCAAGATGGTAATCCTGTAGTAGGTAACTACAGTTCAAATATTATCACTGCAGCCACAGCAAGTGTTGTTTGTTGTTGTAATGCTTAGACTTTGTGGATGATGTAATTAGTTTTGGAGCATGAATCATTTCAGAATACATTTGGATCTGATTAAAATAACATTTGAAAAGTAGTGATGCAATCTATAATAAGAAATAAATTATTCCACCTCTCTCCCAGAAGTAACAGTTACTTCCGGTAGTGAAAATGAGTCCAAATCCAGTATGAGTTGGTTTCATTCCATATGTGTGTTCCACTGGTTAGGTCACTCACAGTACAACAGTGAAGGGCAGGTGTCACACAGCAACCTCCTTGTAAGGGAAGAGCTGTTACTAAATTGCATTAGCCATAGATGAGAAGCAACTCTGGCATCTGAACTTTCATCCTAAGAATGATTTTTCCAATTCTTTTTACTCAGGGCACTACAAAACTGCCTTGAATGGTGAACTGTGCAAGGGGCACTGGACAGTAAAATATAGCATTTCACTTTGGTCCAGATCAGTAAGGGAGCAAGGAATGTATCAAGCACAAGACTCTGCTTCTCCCATCTCACTCCCATACTCCCCAGTGTTCTTTTTAAGCCAGAAACAAATTCTGCTTGAAATGAACTACAAAAGTAGGGCTGGCATTAGGCATAAGTGAGAGTTCAACTTCATCAGTTCTACTACTTGAGCAGGTGATAATGAAAGTAGACTAGAAGGGCACAAAGTAAAACACAGGAAGTTCTCTCTGAATGATAGGAAACACTTCACTGTAAGGATGACAAACACTGGCACAGGTTGCCCAGAGAGGTGGTAGTCTCCCAAAAGGAAGATCCTCAAAAGCCACCTGGGCAAACAGCTCTGAGTGGCCCTGCTGGCACAAGATGACCTTGAGAGGTCCCTGCTGACAATTCTGTGATGAAACAGTAGAGTAGGTATGACCAAAGAAATACCATATCAATGCATTTTTCATGCATCCATACTGTTGGTTCTGACAGGTAATTTTCTGTTCAGTAGCTGGTGTGGGGCTGTTTTGAACCTGTGGGAAGTAAGTGTTGATACCTCAGAGCTGTTTCCCTTCTTGCTGAGCAGCACTTGCACAGAGTCCAGACTACATATCACCCTGTGCCCACAGCAAGGAGGCTGGGGATGCACAGTTAGGAGGGGACAGCACCAGGACAGCTTCCCCGCATTGCCCAAAGGGCTATCCCACACCACAGGGCATCATGAGCATATAGAGCCCAAAGAAGAAGGAACAGGGGACAGTTGGAGTAATGGCATTTGTCTTCCCAAGTCCTTGTTATGCATCACGGAGCCCTGTTTTCCTGGAAGTGGCTTAACGCCTGCCTGCCATTTTGCTTTGCTTGCATGTGTAGCTTTTGCTTTACCTATTAATCCTGCTTTCAACTATGAATTTGTTTTTACTCTTCCACTTCTCTCTCTGAGCCCACTGGTTGGGGAGTGAGCAACCAGCTGCCTGGTGCTCAGTTGCTGGCTGGGGTTAAATCCATCATTCTAGCACAAGAATTCAGGAATGGGGGGTGCTTAGGTTCTTTCTTAAGCTTAGAATTTAATGATTCAATGTATAAACTAGCCTTATTTCAAAGCTGCACACAATCTCACTCTACTTTATAGCAAATGTCCTCTTTTAGGTCCGAGTGATTCTTGTGCTTAATTAGTAATTAGAAGTTTGATTGTTTCAGTGTTGCAGCTTTGCCTTTGTCACAACATATTTCCTTGGTCCTCAAAATGGCAACTTTTTTCTGCCTACAGCAGTACCACCAGTGTAAACCCTGCAGAGTAACTAAACTTCATAAAACATTTTGCTAACCTACTTTTATTCTTGCACATGAGAGGCATGTGACCATAATCTGCCAATTCAAAATTTGTTCATAAAACCTAGAGACACTCCAAATAAACTAGAAAAAAATCACAGAAGAATTACAATCTCATTTTATTTAAACTTCGAGCATATTTAGGCTTCACCATTGCTATACTGTCTCCCACAGTATATAGCCATATTATCACACTAACCTCAAAAGCAACACAATCCTGAATTAAAGATAACCAGTGCTTTTTAACTACTTTCATAAAAGCCTTGTGTTTAAGGTAAACAGGATCTTTATAATGTAGCAGGTGTGCTGAGGAAGTTTCTTCTAGCTCAGTTTTATGACTTAAAGGTTATTAGCAACTGTGACCTGAAAAACTGAACAAAGTATTCCAATCTACTTTTCTGTAATTCTGCTTTACCTTGAGACTCCAGGAGGTGCTGATTTCAACTGCATTTTAAAACACTGACTTTGTAATGAAATTTAGGAAACTACAATTAAAGTCAAACACTTCAGAACAGATTCTCCAGACCTTCAATTGCAGCTATTTTAAGTTAACTATGAAAAGATATTAATATTTTCAGACAGGTTTAATCCTGTGAACATCAAAAGGATTCAGCAAATGCAGAAAAATACAGCTGGTTTCTGCAGTAAACTATAAACCTGGGATATTCAATTTCATTTCAGATAAATGTGCTGCTAGAAAGGAATTCCACAAGCCATGAACAGGAACTTTTTTGTTACAGACAAGCTATACTTTAGGCTATAAAGACAACACATAGGTATGTACTGTGCCTATACCTTGTATTTTGAGAAGCTGCAAGAAACTTGGAGAATTTCTTGTCCCAGGAAAATGAGCAGTGTTTCTTGCAAGAGAAGAGCAAACTGCTACATGCATGCCAACAAGTCAATTACCTTCCAGCAACAAACTCAGCATACCAGTTGGTAAGCCAAAGAAAATTTTTCAAAAGAGAAAACTTACAGACAAGTCCAAACTTTATTTAAAACTACCATTGTGAACAATTTTAAAATTACCAAACAAGTCACAATAAAAATAAAAAATTAAGACAGAAAAAGAACAGTGCAGCAAAACTGAATAGAAGTGGATTCAGTTCCAGCTGTTTAAACTGCCACAGGCAGAAGATCACATACCTATCCTAAGAGGCAGCGTGTTAAAAATTTTACATTTTTATACACTTCCAGAATTCTGGGAAATTAGTACTGATCTTTATGCATTTGTATACATAGAGTTTATTAATGCAGACATCTTCGGGTAATTCTTATGCAATTTGAGCTCCAAAAGTTTCTGTAAAATAAGAATAAAATCATTGTCTAATATCTACAAGGTATCAAACAGCTCATTACCACATTTCAAGTGCTATTTCATCCTCACAAGCATTTTGAGCCACAGCTTACTTGAACAGCTACAGCCATCCCAACCATGCAGAGCTTAAGAATGGCTTAGAGTTAGCTACAGCTTAGGTGTGGCATGGCATTCTTGGTCAGACTGCTCCCACAGCAGCCACCAAATGGGCACAACAGGCCTGTGCTGCCAGAGTTGTGACAAGCAGAAGGCTGAACAGGCAGTGACCAAAACAGAAGGAAAGATGCACCTTTTCTCACACTTGGCTCTGGAAAAAAACCTGTGCTACGACTGCATATGCATTATATGAAAAGCAGGTTCATCAGCTTATACTATTTGAGGAATTGGAAGGAAGCACATTAGCAGAAAACTGCTACTATTAGAATCCCCAGTTCATGCCCTTTATATATGCCATTACTGTACACTCCATTGGAGAATCACAAGTGTATCAATAAAACAGAAGTCTTGAATACTGTAATTCTGTGACAATATTATAGAAAAACCCCAATTTACTTCAAAATGTTGAAGTAAAACATCAGTCATTTGTATCCTTACACACTTAAGTGTAAGCAATTTATCCCATGAGAGTATGTGACTTGATTTCTGACCGAAAAAAGTTTTTAAAAAGCCCACAAAAACCATTTTCTCTCACTTGCATTATCAACGTATCTGCCTAAATAATATTTCATGAAAATGAAGCATTTTATTGCTATCATACACACTGGAACTTTTTTCTACCACATGGTATACTTCACATGAAAAAAACTTTATTTCTCCCCGAGGAGAAGTTTTACTCTTCTGAAAAGTCTCTTGAATGTTCACAAATGCACTGAGCAGTCTGTCAGGAACTTATACTGAGTGTTATTAAATCAGATAACAGCAATTATAATTTACAGTATTATTAAACCCAAGCTTGTGTAACAAGAAACAAAAATACCGCTCCATTTGAATAAGTTTCAAAACCATTATGCTGTGATATCCACTTTAAATATATTAACTTTTATGACTTTATCAGCCACAGAATCTAAAAATGTATATAGAAGGGAGATGGACAGCAAGATAAAATCCCTTCATATCAATACAACACTTTCAAATGCATGATAACAAAACCCAGTGTTTTTACTGCACTACTGTAACTGCTTACTTCAATCAGCAATATTTAAATTCTAGCACTCCTGAGTGTTTTTCCAATATGTGTACAGAATACAGAAAAAAATTACCAGGTTCTTTCAATGTTTGGGCATCTCCAACTAATTCTTGACCTTGAGCTCCACTTCCATCCAGTAATTCATCACACAAGCTCTTGGTTTGGGCCTCTGTTTCCATTTTCTTCATTATATCTGCCTTTATAATAGAAAAAGCAAATCTGAAAATTCTGGATAATTCTTGCTGCTGTCTGGGTAACACAGACATTTACAGTTACACATGCACTTCTAAACAACAGTTGCACAAATACTAGCAAAATACCTCTGAATACACAGCAAGTTTGAGGGGTAAGTCTTCAACTTTCACAAAGTCATCTTCATCAGATTTCTGACTTACATTTCCAGAACCAGGTTCCTGTTAATAAAAATTGTGGTATTTAGAAAGTGCTACCTTGTTTTCTTTTCACTCCAAAACTATTGAAGTATACTAAAATCAAATTTGCAAATGGGAACAAAACAAGACTGCAAACCAGAAATAACACTGAAATGAAAAAAGCTTATAATTTCTCTTGGATGGATCTTAACTGAAATATACACACATATTCATTCACTAGCACAGGTGACTCTGTATCAGGGCTGCCAGCCATGGAGCTTTCAGAACTTGCACCAGATTTGTTTTCTGCACATGTGGTATCTGGTGTTTGAGTTTCATTCACTGCCAAAGATGAGCTTGATCCTTCAGTTTTCACAGTGGCTGTTATAAAGGATTCTGGGGTGTTGGCTGTTAGAGCTGGTGTATTCTCCATGACACTGAGGTAATGATGCACAGCTGCAGCCATATCTTGTTCACCTAAAACCACAGAATTACATTTCAACTAGGAAGAGACAATAAAATATTCTGAATGTACAAAAATTATTATTCTTTTAGAAATTATAATCCAAAGCTACAAGTGAGCAATGGAAGTGAATTATAGTCTCTTAGACAACCCAAAGCTGATTGAAGTAAAACATCAGTTATTTGTACCCTTACACACTTAAGTATAAGCAATTTATCCCATGAGAGTATGTGACTTGATTTCTGACTGAAAAAAGTTTTTTTAAAACCCACAATAACCAACTTCCAGAACTAAGTGACCTACTAAAAAATATTCATTCTAGGTATGAGGAGATATAACACAGAACAGTAAATACCTTAATATTTTGCCACTCTAATACTGATTTTTAGACTACAAAAAAAGGCCAAGAACAAAACTAATGTTTGCAACAGAAAAGCACAGGGAAGGTGGTAATAACAATTACACTAGAAATAACATTCATTCAGCCCAGTAATGTTCCCTTCTTTTGATAGAAAGCATTTCTTTGCTCTAAATCAGTTACAACATTACTCATAGAAAAAAATTTAAAATAGACATTTCAATAACAAGTAAAATGGCAGTAGCAGAAAAAACAAGTACAAGACAAATCTAAACATCAAAACATTGTAACACATTAATTCTGATACAGCTGTGTGCCAAGAGCTGCAACAAGCAGCTAAAATTCTTGCTCATGTCAAGCATCAAAAACCACATCTACCTAAGTAAGATTATTCCATGTTTCCTCTTTAAAAGGTTTACTACTGTGTCAATATCAACACAGGTACATCCAGGCAACTGATACAGTTCCATGAAACAGACAGTCCAGTAAATTTGATCATCTTTCTCTTAGTTACATGCATCACAGAATTTTCCAAGACAAATCTCACCATATGCAAATTCATATGGAAGTATTACTGCGTACAGGGCTTACCTTTAGCAGGCTCTTGTTCTGATGATGAAATTTCACTACTTTTTGGCTTACTCAACTCTTGGTTAGAAGTCTATTGGGGAAGGTAAAAATGAGTTAGAACAAAATTCTACTGATTAGCTTCATAGCTTATTGGCTAATTTACTAACTAGAAACGCACTGTACACTTGCTCCATGAATTTATGTTTTCACTAGTTTGAAATAAAGATGGTGAGTCCTCCTTGCCAGCTGGTCAGTAACAGTTTACAAACCTACTAACAGTGATAGGCATGTTTTATCTGAGCATTTTCTTTTCTCTGCAGCAGTTCCCAGGAAAACTCTGGTTCCACTTAAAGGATCTACTGTTTTAAAGTAAAATGTTCCAGTCACATCTTTGCCTTATCTTGAGCAAACCAAAGTTTCAATAGATTGTCAGTCTTATTTAATATATAAAGAACTGACAATTCTCCATAACAAGGTCACATATATTAAAATTTTAAGAAAACTAATAGTGAAATGACAATCATACCCAATAACATTTCACCATTGTTCCAGAAATAATTATCACAAAAGGGATGAAACACAAACAAAAGACATGCTAGAATACAAGAGTGAATTACCCCCAATTAGAACTTGATCTCAGCAAACACAGAGAAAGAACCCCTTAAAGGTTTAAAATTATGTTTTTTTGAAAGTTTAACTTCTCACTTGCAGCTTAACATTTTTTCCTCTCTCATAGCAGATGTAAACACTAGTTTAGTCTCTGTCCATCCATCTACTTTAGCATCAGCTGTAATAAACTCAAGTGAGGAATGCATTTTGCATGTAGCACCTACTGGCATCATACAATTTCTCGTATTATTCTTTTATTTTCAATAGCACAAAAAAAGTGCAAGAAGAAAAATGAGGCACACAAATATATGTACTGAAAAGGTGTGCACTGGCACATGTTTGTTCTTCTTTTATAATTTTGTCTGTACCTGTTCATTTTCAGTTGTTTCACTGCTGGCTTGTAGTGATGTTTGCACATCAACAGGTCCTTCCTCAAAGTCTATTTCTTCATCTTCATTCTCATCTTCTCCACTGCCATAGTTAGTCAGAGCCTGGGTTTCTGCTTTTGATAAACCTAAAGGCAAATCAATGTAAAACCACCTTTGAATTGCCAAATCCTGTTGGGGAATTTAATGCAATGATATCCCTTACTTCAAAACATTCTTTAAGATTAAGATACAGTAACAACATAACTTGCAAAGATCTCTATGTTTCACATCAGCTATACTATGAATAAACACCCACGTCTGTGTGAGATGTCGAAGTTATAAACAAGTTGGTGCAAAGAATGTAAATGGTAAAGGAATCCAAGCCAGAAGTAGTTGATGTAAGACAAAAATCAGGACAACAAATAAATAAACAAACAAATGCAAGCTTTACTTTAAAGTAAAAGCATATTTTAAAAAGCCACATTGTTTAAATTAAAAACTGCATAAAATTTGCACAGCTTTCACATCATTCAGGTTAAAGTCTGAGAAACTTGGAGTTCAACTAAGACAGGATATATAACCTAATGAATCCACTTCTAATATATTTTTACAAATCTACTGATTATGAAAAAAATTACTTCCTCTAATTGGAATATTTAACCCTTGACATAACACTAGGAAATACAGTACTGCAAAACTTTCACTGACAAAGGACTGACTATAAAATCTGTGAGAGAAGGTGTTACTTAGCACTACTTCATGCAAATCCTGTGGTCAAAACTACAATGGAAGCACTGAGTAATCAACTATATAGAAGTTCCTTACTTATTGCCACTGGACCACTTTCACTTTCCTCATCTTCCTCTTGATCAGATGCATCAGATCTAGTATTTTCAGGCACTCTGTTACCAGCACCCGCTTCTGAGTCTGGCACTTGATTAGCAGTTTCAGTCTCATCCTTGTCCTAGGAAAACATGGAATACTGTACAATTTCATGTTTATGTAAAGACTACACTAAGGTTTCTGCATAAAGGAGCTGTTTCTCAGAAGTTAAAAAGTATCTACTAAAAATCTAAGCAGTTTAAATAGTCCTTACAGCCCTGAAATGAATACAGCAGAATAATACTCATTAACAGAGCATCAGAACATGGCCCTATTCAGACACAGCTTTCAAGGACCTTGTAACTATTGAGTTTGTCATTATCTGCCAAGGTTGACACTGATCAGCATGCTACGTTAAAAAACCCTTTCAGTTAGATTTGTCATTATCAAGAAGACAGACACACCTGCAGCAACTTCCCTGCTCCTCCTCAATGAGGAATAAAAATATTCCTAACTGCAGCTTCTCATTTCTTTAGCAATATCTCCTCAGCTGAATAATTTGCTAAATATGCTGAATGAGAAAATTCTGCATTCCTGTATGAACCTCAAAGTAAAGCCCTGAGTTTGGCTCCAAATCTTGAAAGGACTTTTCTACACTACAGCAAGTGTAACAAGTGATGTACAACTAACTACCTGCTTTAACTTCCAAAGCAGTGTGGCAGAAGCTCTAAGCCCTAGAAGAAAGCACTGGCTCCACTCCCACACATGCCTACTCCTGTACCTATATCCATTTAGGATAGCAATCAACATTCTGCTTGGTATATATACTTGTACCATTCCCTTGACTGGAGAAAGCTGAACATTCCAGCTGACCATTTGAAACTTCATACACAACACATCTCCCCAGTGATATCAGTGATTTTCAAAAGAAACATGAAAAGAAAAGGGACAAAATCTGAGCACTAACATTTCATACTCAGAGCACAGCAAGGCTGGGACTCTGAGAACTTAAATACCACAGGTCCCAATTCAGAACATCTACCTTCTCCTGAAAATGGAAAGTACATTAACTTATTCCATACCATTAACAAAGAAAATGGTAACTGCTATAAGTAGTTAAACTGTCCTTAGAAACGCAAATTACAATTTACTTTGTACCTTTGATAAAATAAATGACTGAAAATAACAGAAAGAGATTAATAAATTTCTAAAGACTGGAAAATGGGCTGCTTACAGATACTTGATTCCTATGACAGACAACAGTAAGACTGAGTGACCTATGAAATTATCTGAGGAATAAAGACAGTTGAAAGGCATACACATACTTTGTCCTCATCGACATCTTCAACAGAAGAACAAACATCCACCTGGAGACCTTTTTTTGCCTAGAAGAAACACAAACTGTCTTCAATTCTAAACTGAAATAACTTGGAAATACTGAATCAAAACTATGGCTTCATGAAAGCCAGGCTGAAATGCTAATCTCACTAAGAATTGCTATCTTAAAACAGCAGGAAGCCACAGGGACTTTTGTACACACAGACGTCTTCAAAATTTCAGAGTTGCAAGCATTAAAAAAATCTGTGCTAACCCTTCTTATGTAAACAATTATGTTTATATTGGGCTAATCCTACAATCTGTGGTTGAATCATATCTAGCACATAGAATTAGATACATCATGGCAGGGGGGTTTGAAACTAGATGATCTTTAAGGTCCTTTTTAACTCAAACTACTTCATGATTCTAACTCTGATCAAGACAAAGAGCTGTGTGATCAGCAGTTACTTTGCTGGACTCAAGAGAGTCAGGAAATCGAGCAAGACCAAATATGTCTGCATCAGGATTCCAGAGTTGAGGGCTGTAAAGACCACACAGAGAGAATTGCACAGGGCTGTACAAAGTAACCAGGACATATCACTTCTGGCTCTCTCTGGCTTTGTTGAATCTGAGCCTCCGCCACAGCAATGAGGCAAACATTGACTTTAACCCTAATTTTGACTTCCAGGAGAGAAGAAATACTGAATCTAAGCTGGCTCCATGCTTTCTCACAGCAGGTACAAGCTAACTCTTTATGTAACAAAGATACATAAAGAGTTAGTTTATACCTGTTATGAGATTGAGTTTATACCTGCTCTGAGCTGCCAATGGACAACTTCAGATAAAACAGGAAGTCATGTCTAAATCTTTCTGGATTCAGTGTTCCTTTGGCCTCTTTACAAGGCACTCCACAATCTCCCTCATACCAGCCATACTATTGAAATATCTGAATTTATTATCTTGAAGTATAGCTGGCGGGACACCTAAAAATACTTGTAGGACTTTGTAACAGGTTCAAAAAAAATATATTTTGCTGGCATTTAAAAATTAATTAAGGGTATGTTTTGGTATTTGTGTTTCTAGAAGAAAGGTGAAATGACACTGAAATCATAAATACGTGAACATGATCTGGTTTATTGTTTGCTTTGTAAACAGATCATGCAACTTAAAAAAAAACGCACCTATGCTCCCAATAAAAGCAATACTAAATAATGTAAATGGTGTGAAACCTAGCCAAAGCTTGCTTTTTAGAGCAAGAATATGTCCTATAGTCTCAAATATTTCTGAAAATATTATATATATTTTACATACCAAATCCAGAAAGTAATTCTTTCTGCATATGCCAACAAACCAACTACATGACAACTTCAGAGGATTTACTCTTATTTTTTTAAAGATGATGCAAGGAAACCAGCAGGCAAACTAAAGAGATAATGAACTGGGACCTCCAATACGTCAAAATACTTAGCTGGGTGTAGTAGGGCCATGCAAAACCAATACACTGGGATAGAGTTAAACTTCTTCACAGTAGATAGCCTGAGGCCGTGTTCTTGGTTTGTGTTGAACACAGGGTTGACAGTGCAGGGATATTTTCATTGCTCCCAAACAGCATGCCACAGAGTCAAGACCTCCTCTGCTCCTTACCCAACCCCAAAAGCAAGAGGTCAGAGTGCACAGCACTTGGAAGAGGACACAGGCAAGGAAGATGACCCTCACTAACCCAAGGGATGTCCCACACCACACACCATCATGCTCAGCATATAAAGCTGGGTGAAGAGGTGGGGGGGGGGGGGGAGATCCCAAGTGATGGTGCTTGACTTCCCATGTCACCATTACATGGATGGAGACCTGCTCTCCTCGGGGTGGCTGAACACCTGCCTGCCTCTGGGAAGTGGTGAATGAATTCCTTGTTTCGCTCTGCTTGCATGTGCAGCTTTTGCTTTACAACTTCAAGTGTCTTTATCTCAGCCCACGAGTGTTCTCTGTTTTACCCTTCTGCTTGTCTCCCCATCCCTCAGATGGGACTGAATGGCTGTGAGAGGCTCAGCTGCCTGCTGGAGTTAAACTACTCAATGGCCCCAGGTGTTAAAAATTATTTTAATACTTATTAATTCCTTCATATGTTCACACAAAACCATTAAGACATTTCCTCTGAATTATAAACAAAGTCTATCCAATTAGACATCTGTAACAGATAGTCATCTGTAACACAGGATTTGCCCTTACTGAGGAAAACCAGTTCACACTCCTACACAAGCAATACTGGGATTACACAGCAACTTGTAAAATAAATAAATAAACATATATATATAATAATGCATATAAGGCAAATAATGCAAAAAATAAGGCAATCAAACTAGTTTAGAAAATGCATATATTTAGCAATCTCACAAAAGCTACATTTTTCAAAAATAAAGTAAAACAAACCTCTTTAGCATAAGACTGAATTACTTCAGTGGTTTCTATTTTTCGTTTACATCTCTGCTTTACAGAAATACTGTTGTTGTCCAAGTCTTGCATCAGTTTAAAAAAGGCTAATTCGTTGAATAACACTTCAGAGATCTCCACAAGAAGATCCTCCCCACAATCTTTTAATTTTCTACCAGCAAATTTTGCCAGTGAATCCTGTGAAGAGAAATAATTCTTCAGTTTCTGAAATAGGCTTTCAAGCTTTAAAGACTAAGCAGTTTTCATATTTCTAATAACTTGGAATTAGTTATGTATATATAAGCTCATATTTTTAAAGAAAGTTTTAGTGCCCTAAATAGATTTTACATGGAATCTCTAGGCACATAACACAGAACTTAATAAGCTCATGATTTAAACTCCATGCTTGTAGAAAAAAAAAAAAAGAATGAAAAAGTGCAAACTACAGATTTTCAGGAATTTACACAAGATGCCCATGAAAAGCATCACCAGAGCTCTCTTTGAAGACAGGCACAGGCTAGAGATACATCTCTCACTACCTGGCTCTGACAGAAAAGATGTTCTATGTGCATAAATAATTTGTTTAGGAACAAAGGTAATACTTCATCACTGTATCTAAGGTGAGGGAGAATGGCAGCTGCACTATTCAAGGTGTAAAATACAACTTCAGAGAAGTCTGCTCATTGGCCAACTTGAGTACTGCAAAATAGAAGTGAAAAACTACTAACCTGAAGTATACTGCCAAGCTGCTTATGAAAGAACTTCACAAATTCTTTACTTTCATCATTTTGTTGCGTAAGAGTTAAGACCATACGTCTTACTGATGTCAGTAACTGAGAAGAGCATACTTCATCCATGTGTTCCTACACAAGTACCACAGAATGAGCTTTGTTACCACTTCAAAAGAAAAACCAGCCATCAACTCAAGTACAGCAATTAATTTATAAAAAAACCCACTTGTCCACTGAAGGAACAGCACACCACAAAAATTCCCAGTCAATCTCACAAACATCATACTTCATAAATGACTGCTTGGTCACAACACCAAGAGATTTATCTCAGTTTTCCAGTACATGAGTACTTGGCATCTTATAACGTTTGGCCAAACTAAGGAGCTTCATATATTGTGGCTGTGTACACAAGTGTACTGAAGTGCATATTAAGACATCTACTCTTATATGCAGCCCTAAAATTGCAAAAAAAAGAACAAGGCTTCAGGCACTCTGACTCTGACATGCCAACAATATAGTTTTTAAACTTAATATCACCAAATACCTCATGAGACAAACCTAAGCTTATACACTGTGCATTCTATAAAAGAGAACAGGGAGATACCTTAAGCAACTCCATCTTCTCTGCTCTCCAACCTTGCAAAGAAGAACTGGGACTAGTTCTCCTTCTTTAAAGAAGAACATTTCTTCTTTGTAGTCACAACAGTTAAAAAGTTCTCAACAACTTTAAAGATATTTGTAAACAGGAGAAAATAATGCTAAAAAAATCAACTACTCAGAGATATTCTTCAAAAATATCCTATTACTGTACATGTAGCATTTTTAGTGATCTCAGTTCTGTCTGCTAAAAGGCAACAAATATTTCAGCAGTACATTCTCAAACATTTCTATATTTAATTTTTTCAGCTCTAGAGCAAGCAACCTCTATTCTTTGTGATGTCACGTCCACCTGCCCTATAAAATCTAGAAACTTCACCATTTATTTCTCCTATTAATAACTACACAGAATCTTTCTGTGGAATATCTAATTCTTACTTCATCTTCAGCAGAGCGTACAACTGAACACATATTTATTGGCAGCTGTTTCTAAGAGGCAAGTTTTAGATTTTAGATAATGCTCTTCTGTGCAATTATACAAGTGCTTTTCTTACTCTTCTAACTCATGCCATATTATAAAGACCCCTTACCTTCAGAAAAGGAATGACCTCTTTCATAATTGCTTTAATCTGCCGGTCAAGCTGCTGAGTATCTATGCGAGGACATGGAACTGCAGAAACATCACCTGACTGTGGCACAGACTGACTTTCACCGGTTCCTGGACCTTGTTTTAATAAAAAGAAGGAAAAAAAGGCAGTACATTTAATACATTCAACATTACTATTAAAGAAATATCACTTTCAAAAATTTATTTTAAAAAATATATCTTATTTCCTTAAGTATGCAAATATCTTTTCAAACTTTGCTAAGTTTACAATATAAATAAAGAGGAAAGCAGTTTAGCTTGATAGTTACTATAATTATTTTCTAAAACTAAGCAAAATATTCATATATGTGCATACCTTCTAATTTAGCAGCAGAAGCACCCTGAAAATTACTAGAGCAGCCCTCAGAGTCAAGGGTACTTTCAGCTTCAACTTTCATACGTTCATATTCCCTCATCCAAGACAAAGCTTTATCTAAGTGAATCACTGTGTTGCCTATATTTAGAATAAAAACGCTTTTTAATCTAAATGAAAAATTTTCAATTGATAGACAAATAAACAATTATCAAAATGACTTTAAGGCCCCAAATTTTGAAATTCACATATAACTAGTTGAAATATTTTATTACACACTTTGATGAACTGTGTTTCACAATTAGCTAATTTAATTATGTTTTTTATTACAAAACATGTAATTACACACTAAAAATCAAATAACAGTGTACTAAAGTGCAGACAATTGCAGGTATTTAGGGAGGGAGGGAGGGAGTAACACTTAAAACACTAAGTCACATCATTCTCACCAAGGTCATCAGTGGCAAAGGGTTCAAAATTTGAAGAAGTAGACATTGTACTGCCATTGTCTGCACCAGGTTGTTCACAATCTTGACATGCTTCTGTAGAAAAGTTCTTGCCAAAAGTTTCCTAAAAAATACCAGACAACTGAATACAAAGAAAGAACACACCATACTTTCACAGATGTGTGAACAAGCCTGCAATTCTTTTCAGTGACTTGTTGTGGTATCAGGGTTTGTCATAAGACTGCCTAACTGGAGAACAACCCTACTTTCAGGTTATAAATGCATCAGGTTAATCTACCATGCTTACTTCAAATACTTCAAGTGCAAAACACGTAAGAAACTGTACAGAGGTGTAATTGACTTCTTAAATACAAGCAAAAAATTTTGGAGAATCGTGTGATCGGTACTTGTCCTGACCTTACTCAGGAGAGGATTCTGGCTCTGAGTGTATCAGTTTCCCATTTTCATCCCTCTCCACATTTCATTCACTCCTGACACATCACTCATTTGCAGTGCCAAGAATCCTACCGTATTTTATCACTTTTGCATTGATTCTTTTGCCACTAGTTGTTTAGAAAAGTCTGTGTAAGTCAATACTAATTTTAACAAAATTTATTCCCTAGTGTATGTTTCACTAGACAAGCATATATGTGTGCAAACTGAAATACAGGAAAAGCTGCCAGTAGCTTCTGAATTTCAACACTTACATCATCTGTAGAAGCAAGACTTTCACTAGGAGTGAGTTCAGAATTTGATGCTACCCATGTTGAAGAATTCAGTGATTTTCCACACTTCCCTTTTTCATTTTTCTCACATAAATGTCTGGTCACGATATCCTGGAAAAGATAATCTGTGCTGTGAAAAGAGATCTAAGGTTTGCTTGATTCATAAACAAAATCAAAAATCTGTCCATACCTGTAAAGCATACAGAGCCCTTTGCCTCAGATAATCTGTATTTAGCAGCTGAAGCTCATGGAAAAGTTCAATAAGAAAGTGGGGACGAGACTCATTTTGAGAAATAAGAGTTGCCACTTCAGAATAAATTGTGTCTCGCAAAGCTTCAAACATAGAAAGATCACTACCAGTTTCTGTAGAAAAAAATAAAGGAACTTGTTAAGCCCTTGACAGGCATCCACTTAACAGGCTATCAGGTATGCAACTTATGAGTTTACAAATTATGTCTCAGTCATTGCAGATTCCCAATATAGCTGCTTTCATAAAGCTTATTAATTTCCTGAAGGGCAAACATTCTTGAATTATATTTTATGCAATCTTCAATATATAAAATATAGAGCAATTGTAAAAATAATTTTCTTTACACTTCTGAGCAATACCTTTTGAAAGTATTGTTTATAAAAGAGAATACTGCACACAGCACAATGATGCTTTCAGAATAAGTATTAAACACTGAAAATGGAGTTTCAAGAAAGATAGTGAACGGTCTCAGGTTTATATAGTACAGGCAGTCCACACTTCTGCAACACAAGCAGCATTAAGAAAGCTTTAGGCTGAACTCAAGAAAGCCACTCTTTGCCAACATAAATGCTACACTCTTATACATGTTTAGTATCACTCCCAAGTCCACAAAAAACCTCCTACCCTTAAACCCTATTACATATAAGACAATGTGCTGCCTAACAAATCTCCCATTCATTTGAAAATTAAGGATTATCCTTGCATCACAACAATCAAATTATTACATGCATTATTTGGGAAGTGCTGAATGGAAACATAGCTAAATTTGGAAAACTCAGTTTAACAGATGTGTAGTTGTTAGTATTCAAGTTAATGAAGTTATTAGCAATACAGCAAACATTACTGTGCAATTTGATTATTTGCAAATAGTTGACCAATTTTTTAAGCACAGGCAAGCTTTTTCAACCTTTGAAAAGTTACCACAAATTGCATCCCTCTCCCATTACTAATATGTAATAGCAGCTTTTAAACATACTAAAAATGCCTACTGAAATAAATTTTTTGATGCAGTATCTACCTCCATATTTTCTATTTGTAACTGTTATTAATCAAGAACATGGTAACCACGCTCTCCACAACTGTAATTCAAAGCAGTTGGTAACACTGCACTTCATGCAAGGTTACTTCTCTTGTCTTGGTTATAGGGAAGGTGCTGCAATAGCACTAACCTTGAACATCTGCTAAACAGTGAGTTACAGGACCAAAGGTAAGAGAAGAAAAAAAAAAAAAAAGTAATAGCATATTGTTGAAGCTAAGCAGTGAATGCATTACCTGGCGCTTCAATGCATGCATTTCTGTTAGACTGCTGCAGAATTCTCCTAGCATGCGCTGTAGGAAAGTGGGGATAGACAGTGATAAACACAAAAATGTGCACCAGAAATAAAGACAGGGTCTATACAAAACAGCAGGAGGAAGACTGCTTAGTCATCCAAACCACATCAGAGCTGCTTACTGTGAGAATGAGAACTTGAGCAGTGAAGTTTATTACGTACACTAATAAACAGCTCTTAGTGTGGACATAGCTACACTGGCAAAGCTTTATATTGTGCTACAATGACTAAAATTTCTGCATCTCTTAAACAAAACAGAAATAATGGCAGAACCAAAAAAGGCACAGGAGCGAGAATTTTTATGATCTAGATACAAGAAAAGCAGTGCAGATGGCAAAAATGTAAGGGTTTATGTGATGTTAAAAGACTGAATTTGAATGGTATTTGATGGGGCTCATTTAAGCACAAATAGGAAGAAGACATGTATGCAGTATAGGATGTAGTTTAAACATTAAGCAGAGTTTTATCAGTTTAACAGTTACTTTCCATAAAATCACCAACAATAGGTGAGATTGGCTACATTTTTGCTTTTTGTATGGTAAAAAGTTTCTAAATTACTTTAATCAAGTATTTAATATACAGAAAATGCCCAAAAGCAATTAATATCAAACTTTTTACACATTTACAGCATCCTTAGAAATTAAAATGCAAAATTCACACGCTAAATATATAGTCCTGTCTTCCTGCCAAAACACACTGCATTTAAATAACACACTAGCAACTAAGGTCCCTTACTCACATAAGTTAACAAAATAATTAAACATTTAGAAAAGAGTACCTGAAGACATTTCTGTAGATCTACTGTATTTAATTATTTTTTCCAATTGCTCCTGATTCCTTTTGCTGAACACCTTTGCATGAACCACATCATCAGAGTGTCTGCTTTTATTGTTCTTGCAGGGCTCACACACACTAGAAGCACTTGCACTTTCATAACCTAATGGGAGGAAATGAAAGGGAAGAAATAAAGAAACAGCTTACAAAATGTTTTATTACTTCAGAAAATTTGTTCAAGGGCACTCCTAAAGATGCAAAATACTAATGATGTTTCCTACACTAAAATCTTCCTCTGTATACTGAAGCCATACAGTAGTACTAAATCCTCAGCAACTCCAACAGTACTTCTATACTAACTAGTACTGTTCCTCTCTTCTCACAATTTTAACGAAGCTTTTTTTTTCAGCAAATAATCCAGTTTGAAAAAGAAGAAAATGAAGAAGATTCTCCTTGTTATTTTAAATCTGCACGTATCTGCATCCATGATCCTCTCAACTGGTTATGTATTTTCTATTGACTGAAATCCTAAAAAACCGGATGCAGTTGTATTATAAAAAATTAAGTGATTCCAATAACTTATTGCCATTATTATACTATTTACTGAGAGTAAATTCTCATGAATGTAATGATTATAATCCAAGCCAAGTTTGCCACAGTATCCAAGATTACTTTACAACCTACCAGCATTTTTAATTCTGCCTTTTAGCTGAGAAGAACTCTTCCTCTTATTCTTTGATTTGGGCGTTTTATCTTTTGATGCCAGGCTTGCTTGTGCTGATGCTTTTCTAGATCTAAATGTCTTTGTCACAGTAGTTGGGTCTATTGGATCAGGCATGCTACTGAAACTCTCCAAAGACTCTTCATCAAACTCTCTTCTCCGGCTCATATCACACTGATTTTTATGACCAGAAGCAGTATTTTGTACTGAAACTCCAAAACCAGCATTCAGCTGAGACTGATCATCTTTCTTCATTTCTTGGCTATCATCAAGCCAAGCTGATATTTTCTCCATTTCCTCTTCAGGTTGTCTATGATTCCTTCTGTCAGAAAAGAAAGACCCACAGATCAATTTTAATATACCATAACCTGATCTCTCAGATACAAACATGATGTATTACCAGGCAAGCAGTTTAACTGTAATGCAAATTATCTGCCCTTGTTACTTAGACATCAAACGACTATTGAAAAATAAATAACTCCACAGAACCCTTCCAAATGGAGAATGGAACTTCCCATTTATCTATCACTGGTTTCAATACGAATATATTAATGCAGCTACTGCTGTGCTCAAATAGTACCACAGGTCAAAACATTTCTTAAAGCAACATTCAGTACAATCTACAGTAGCACAAAAAAAATTAGCATTCGCTGAAAGTACATCCTCTAGTTATTCAAACAACTCAGTTTCAAAACAATCCCACAGAAACAAAATCTTACTCCACCTACAGAAAGTGTTGGAAAACCACTCCAAGATTGCATTTGATTTTAAAATTTTCATGAAATGATACGTTAATTAAGATATAGAAAAGCAGAACACTACTGGAAAAAATGAAAAAAATTAAACTAGAAGTTACAAAAGTCAAGTTCATATAGTAATTCTATGACAATAAATTCCCTTAATGAATGATGAATTCCCCTAAGCCCCAGAAAAGGGAGGAGAAATTATTAAGGGAGAGCTGCACTTTGACATTCAATACCTTTGTTTTTCTGCTCCATTAGAGGAACTGCTTTCAAAGGGTTTGGGGAATGCCATATACTCAGTTTTCCCAGAAGTATTTTGATCTAGAGGATGCTGCTGCTCCTGCTGCTCACTGCTCCGTGGAGAAACATTATGTGCAAAATCTCCAAAACCAGATGGAAACACCGGATTGCAGTTAATACCTACAAAGTAAACAAGAGAGTCAAAAGATACTACCTCATTTACTTGTGCAGTAAAATTCAAATTTGAGACATACTATGTGGCAGCATGGAATTATGAGCAAATATACACTGGGGAAGTAAGCACGAATTGTTTTCATCGTGAAAGCACGGTAAACGGTAAAAAGCAGAATTTATCTTTAGTGCAGGTTTTGAACACTACTGGATACTACAATCCTATTATTTGAGATCAAGGTCCATCAAGAAACTCCAGGAGAAAGCTCCTGAAAGTGAAAGTAAAAATAACAACAGTTCCAAAAAAAGGCAGAATTCTGTCTGCCTGAAGACCTTATCAATCTTCAACCACCATCAAATGGACAAGAAAATTCCAATGGTTTGGGTACTTATAGAGCCAAAGAAGTCATAGATCCATACAACTTCAATTTTAACATCAGAATCTTTATGGAAGTGGCAAAGTGAATGTAACTGATTTTTTTTTTGGTAGGTTCCATGTAATTTTAAAAATGTTCTCAAACAGAAAACAGACTCTGCAACTTGAAAGTTCTAATCTAGGTCAATGCCTATTTCCTGGTTTCCTAATAAGACTGAAATAATATAAGACAGTTTTGTTTACTTTTGAGTTATACAGTAAAATACCTACACTCCTTTCCTCCAAATCCAACAGCAAAAGTAGATTAGAGAAAGAGATTAGGAATACTGTATCCAAATCAAGTTACTGTGTAATTCTGATGGGAACAAAAATGAGTTAACATGCTCCATTTACAAGCACTTATAACAAACATGAGTGCTTGAAGTTCTAAGAAAAACAGAAATAATTACCAACTGACACCTTCCAATTACATGGTTCACTCAGAACTTCATTTCAACTGTGAAATGATTGCTGAAGGTATGTAAAAAGCTTCAAACACTGCTTTTTGTATGTTGGACTTGAAACCTTACATGGAGTGAGTCTTTTCAAGTATAATTAACTTCATACTGAGAGAGTCTTGCTCTTCATACTGAAGTAAAAATATTTAATTATTCAGCAATAAACAGTAAACTTCTGCTTAAGACCATTTCAATATAAAGGAAAAGTGACTGAGTTTCATTAAGTTCACATTACAATTTCAATTAAATGAGAAAATGTCCATTTTTGAAATTCATGCTACTTCTCATACCTACAGTAATACTTACCTGGGGCAAAGGAGGAGAAATTAGTAAATCCTGGAACACTAAAGAAGTTCACAGGTTGAGGAGGGTAGTTGAATGGACAGAAAACAGGAGATGGAGGTGGTGGTGCACTACTGCCTCTCTCCTTTCTTGATGGTTTCTCTTGACACTGTTGTTCTTGCTGTTGCATAAGATCACTTAACATTTGTTTCAACCTTGAAAATAAGAAAAAATAGCAACTTGGGGAAAAAGAAGAATATTATGGGAAAACTGTAAATTTATACTCAAGTAATTTGAGCTTCCTATTATCTCACCTACACCATGTAATGTATGTAAAGAAGTATTCTATTTAGCTTATTAAAAAACCTCAAGACAAAAATTACTTACATTTAATCCTGAGTTGGTTTAAAATCAACTGCTCTGTACTAGTGGTCATGCATGTACAGTTTAAACCTCCTTGTAAGAACAAAAAAACCTGACAACATACTAAAGAAATGAGCAAGCTGAAAACTTCAACAGAAACAATCAAATATACAAAGTATTTACAGAACTGAGGTTAAAACTGATTTTAAAAACTGTGTAAGAGGACAGCAAATATATATCACTTACCAAATAAAAAACAGAGATGAAGAGCTTCAACTTTCATGCAATGAATTAAAATGACTATTACATCTTTTTTCAAAAAAGATAATCTGGATCATGGAATCTTACATTCCATCATCTGAATGGAATGAATGTAAGAAGCACAAACTGTAACTGAAAACACTAAGAAAGGACAAAAAGCTTTTTTGCTGTATATTACCATTAGAATCCAGAATCTTGCCAGGTAGTCTAGTGAAGACTACAGACACAAAAGCATATTAGAAAATAACTACTGCAACAGATTTTTGCCAACTTTTGGTTCTCTTCAATGAAGATTACTAGGAAAGTACTTTTAAAGGTACTAAAGAGGTCATGGGGGAAAAAGATGACAACCAGAAATGCTACACACAATTTCAAAAGCTCATTATCAACTTAGAAGTTCAAGAGTCTCATATTTAACCACTATCTGTAATCTTTTATTCACATAACCATGTTCCTGTTACTGAAGCATTTCAAATTCCACACTTGAACACTAATACAGTCAACAAACCTTTGGACATTATTCTGCTGCCAAGTCAGTTGAGTGTAACACTGGTTTAACTGATGCATAATAAGATGTATTTGTGAAGATGCAACATTATTGGGCATCATGCTGTAGGGGCCTGTGAGCAAAGTCTGCAGAAGGCAAGAGAGGGTCTGTGGAAAGAAAACATGTAACAGTGACCAATCACAAAAAACAGAAGTTAGTGCTAGAAGGAGTTAGAAGAGAATAAAAGGCAAATAAGAACAGCAAAATAACAGCTCTTCATATCTACCTGCTGATCCTGCATCAAAGTTTGACAGATGCTGACACTAAATTCATGCTGTTTCTTCAACTGATTGATCTGCTCTTGCCATCGCTCCTTCTCTTCCACATAGGAGAGCTCAGACATCCACCGAAAATTTTCCTGACGCCGCATATTTATGTTTTGCTGTTGCCTGGCCTTAGACACGGGACGGTAATTTCCATCTGCGGAAAGGGGACGGCAGTTTTTCCACCTGGGGTGGGAAAATTTTAAAAATGAGGACAAAATCCGATAATTCAAACAACTAATGATACTTCCATATTCACATTATGTTGAAGTTGTGCATCAAAAACTCACATGGCACAGGCCAGCTAATTACACATGCCATTTTGTCAATCCAAAATTATCCTGAACAAAAAACAGGAGCTCCCCACCTGACTACGACTGTCAAAAAAGGAATGGCTATCAATGTGCCTGTGTCTTGTTTTTAGTATTTTCCATTACTGCTAACATGTACTCAATGAAAACAGAAGCCACCAACATAATACATTGACAAGTCCAGCCTCTGATGAGCCCACTGTCTACTAAAATCATTTTGGTATCCAAACCAGAAGAAATAATACGTGCAGATATACACATTCTTTTTAACATGGTATTTTCACTTAATCACACAAATGTTATGAAGGAAGTCAATCAGGTAAACAAGAGTTAAAATTATTCACAATAATTAATATAGTTTCCACAACTACAGAAGCCAGCAATTTAGAAGGAAAAAATTTAGAGTTAGTTTAATTCTCTGAATTACTATTTTTGAAGAGACTGATCATAGCAAAATTTTCACACATGCAATTATCTTTTAAGCTGATTAAAAAAAAAATGGGAGCATCAGAAGCCACTACCACACAACTGGAGAGCTCAATGGCAGATTTTTAGTAAGACTGAAAACAAAAGAAATCACCAAGTCAGTTATATACATTGCAGCTGCAAAGACTCAGAGAAGAAACTGCCACTAATAAGAAAGAATTTTCCTTTGCTGTGAGGATGCCCCGTAGTTAATGCAATACTTCTTCCACCATCTTCCAAATACTCAGACAAGCATCAGATCAACAAATAAGGTTACTAACCTATCTTTGTTTCCTTTACCAAAATAGGCATTTTCTGGTATGTTGTTATTGGGATAAACAGAAAAACTGTCATTCAAACTCGATGCATCTTCTTCCTCTTCTTCTGCCTGACCAGCTCCATCAGAGAGATAACCGTCTTCATCTCCATTTTCTTCCTCTAGGGCACACTGGGTAGAACCTCCCCAGGTAGCCATTGTCCTAGGGAACATTGCAGGGTCAGGGAGAGAATGGGTGTTTGGAAAATGAGTATTTTTTTTTCAATTTTATGACAAATTATTAAAACAATCTGTCGACAATTTCAAGTCTATCTGCAATTAATCAAGTTGCACCAGAAAGAACTGAACTGTTCTGAAGATGAGCCAGTAGTGTGCCCACGTGGCCAAGAAGGCCATTGGCAACCTTGCCTCTATCAGGAATAGCGCAGCCAGCGAGGCCAGTGAGGCCATTCTTCCCCTGCAATGGGCACAGGTTAAGCCACACCTTGAGTGCTGTGTCCAGTTCTGAGTCCTGCAATTTAGGAAGGACTTTGAGATGCTGGACCATATCCAGAGAAGGGCAACAAGGCTGGTGGAGAGACTGGAACACAAGTGCTATGAGAGTGGCTGAGGGAGCTGGGGTTAAGCCTGGAGGAGTTTTAGGGGGGACCATATTGCTCTCTACAACTGCCTGAAAGGAAAGTGTAGCCAGATGGGGAGTCAGCCTTGTCTCCAAGGCAATCAGTGACAGGACATGAGGACAATCTTAAGCTGAGTCGGGGGGGTTTAGGCTGGACATCAGTGATTGACTGGGCATTGGAATGGGCTGTCCAGGGACATGGTGGAGTCCCTGGTGGCATTTAAGGAAAGACTGGATGTGGCACTCAGTGTCAGGGTCTCATCAGCAAGATGGTTTCAGGCCACAGGTTGGACTCAATCTTCAAGGTCTTTTCCAATCCAGTTGATTCTGTGATTCTCACCAATGCAAATTGCATTCTGCTTCTAAAACTGGGACAGATAAATTAAATTACTGCCTGTATTGGAAATGTATTACTTTACTATGCTACAAAATGGGTAAAGATGAAAAAAACCTACTCTGATCATTTGGCATTTTCCATGCAATTTTTTCTTCTTAGGTGTTTCTTATCCCCACTAGTAGCACAGAAGAGACTTAACATGCTGGGAAAACCCATAAAACTGGCAAGTTGCTAAATAAGTCACTTCAAAAGCCAAGAAATTAATTTCCTGCTCTGTTAAATCATCACATTCAGTCGTCAGATGAACACAGGAAACTGCCCCCAACACTGACATCCTACTGAACAATGGAAGCACCCACTGAATACAGAATAACTTGTGCTCTTACTTCTCAGTCCTGCTCTGCTGTGGAGTACACCGAGCTTCTGACCCTTCACTTTTAACAGATGCAGCAACAGTAGATATTGTTTCTGCAAGCTCTCTCCTTCTCTGATCTTCAGCCATTAAAGCTTCAAGTTGCTTTCTTCTCTGTCGCAATTCTTCTCTTAAAATCTCATGTCTTCTCATCTCAGACCATAACTGCTTGCAGTAAAATGGAAGAATTAGAATATAACGCTAGCATAATTTCAGGAAAGAATAAGTAATATCCAGATCAATATCAAAGACAATTTCAGGGGGCAAGGTGAAGAAAGACACAAAGATAAATCTGGTTTCAACAAATACTTTCATCATTTTCTCGAAAGATGATCTGTCTACAGTATGTAATATCAAATTTTCATGGTAAAAATTAAAAAATTAATTCAACTATCACATAAATATTTAGTAACAATTGCTATATTTGGGGGAGAATGTCTTGCCAGTTCAAGTCAGTATTTCCTTCTTTCCAGAAACAAAATAAGGGAGTTATACATGCTTTGTTCAAATAGCTACTACTCCACTCCCCAGGCCACCTACTTAAAATATGTCCAAGCAACCTGTAACTTATTTCTAAACCATTTCAAAGTCACTGCATATCAAGTATGGAATACCTCATTGCCCACTGGTAATGATTCATCACATTCAAATAAAGGCTTGCCAGCTGTGTTACACTCAGTCATGGCTGGAGTTGATGTTGCTTGTGAAGACTGTCTATTTGCTGGGCAGTTACCCAGGCCACCTGACAACTGAAAGGGAAAGCAAAATGGCAAAAGATATAAGAATATAAGAGCTTTCTAAAACTTAGCTGCAGTTAAAACCCAACACAGTTAAAGCTTTATGCGGCTAGAAAGTCAGTATCCCAGGAAAAGCATTTTTGAATCAAGGTTTAACATTTATTTCAAAAGTTACCAAGCAATCAACAAAACTGATGTATTATTATATAATGTTCAAGATGCACAGTATTGATAATTTACTGCTTACTTCACAGAAAGAAGTTAAGAGCATGAAAAACAATAAAGCCTGTAGAGTTAAGTTAAAATGCAATGAATTGTTGATCACGCATTCAAGACACAGCATCGCTCCAAAATACCAGCAAATGACTACTAAGAGAAGTAAAGAAGCCGTGACTGACCAGTATGGACAGACAAATTTCAGGCTAAAAATAAGACAGAAGGTTCTGTATCTTTGAAGACACTGTCAAGGCTTTTGAAGATAAACCACAGTGAAATTAACCATTGAACAAGAACCATTAAAAAGAGAATGACATAAGCAGAAATCTAGAACATCTGCTTACAGTATACAAGCATTACCAATTTAAGTTTTTTTCCAATTTTCACAGAGAAAAAAGGGTGAGCAAGGTATTTTTTGTTTCTCTGCTCAACACCTTAAGATAGCAAAGAAATACATTCTACCTACTTGAAGGTCAGGACAAGCTTTCTGTAACACTTGAATTTTTTCCTGGATTTCAAACAGTTTTCTTCTTTCTTCTTGTAGCTGCTTAAGCTCCCGTTGCTGCTGCTGAAGTTTAGCTTCATAGAACTTCTTTCTGTGTAAATAAATTACCCATGTGTTACTCAGCAAGAAGTTGCCTAAAGCACAGCTCTCCCATCCTCTGACAAAGGCTTACCTTGCTTCCTCGCTCATTCGCACATCTTTTTTTAACTTGTTGGAACTTGCTCGGACATTGTTTGGCTGCTGCTTTGCCTCTTCCCCCTCACCCAACAAGTCACCAATATTAGATGCATTTGCAATTGCTCCTTGAGGTTCTGGATCATCACACTAAAAGGATGTCAGAAAGGCAGTTAGACTATTTTCAAGTTGATAAAAAAAAATGTAACGTATCTAGTTTGTCAAGTTTGTCTGGTTTGATTTTTTCAAAACTAATCAGTCTGAAGAGCTTTATCTTCAGCACAAACCAGGAACTGAGAAGTCATTATCACCATGGCATCATGACTTGAACATATATTGAGTTAATGAGAGAATTTAAAGTTATTTAACTCAACCTGAACTACTGAAACTTCCACTCTAAATGTAAATAATTTGTCTCATTCTTGAAGCATGAAACTCTTGCCTGTGATTCAGTGGACAGAAACATACAAGCATATGAAGAAAGAATAAGGAGGAACAGAAGGAGACTGAGGTGAACAACATTGTCTATTTACCACAATCAATGAACTTAAATATTATTATTAACAATAACTACCCTTGAAAACTAAATCTGAAATACTTTGGAGAAAGTCATACTGGTTTTCTATTCTGCTTTTATTTTTTTCATAATTTCTGTATTTTCAGTTCTCAAACTGAAAATATGAAAGCTGTACCCACTGCTGCTTTGGTTTTCCAACATAATCATTCTCCATAAAGACACCGCTGAACAGGAGAGACCACTGGTGACCAAGAATGGCACAGCTCACAGGCCTACTGTATCTTTGAGATTACATACACAGAACAAGCCTTGCAAATATGATTGAAGATATGCCATTAATTAGGCTACTTATCAAGGAAGCTGCTGAATCATCTCTAATTCTGATTCATACCACTGCACAGTTAGCATCTCTATAGTGATGATAAAAAACAACACTGATCTAGATGCTGAGAAATAATACAGGAGTATGATACTAAAATAACAATATTGTGTTTATACTGTTGCTATTGTCAAACACAGGTTCCAACTGAGCTTGATTTTAAGCCTTTTCATTTCTGATACACCTCTATGTATTCAGTATGCAGACATTACAGCAGATGGTGATCAAATGTGTGCGTTCTGAAGGGACATTAGATCCATGACATTGTGCTGCTAACATCACTAGATAAGCATGAGATATTCTAAATTAACAACACTCCCAACTTATAGCTGGCCCTCAAAATTCTTAAAATAAATAAAACCACTGCCTCCAAACCAAAATACTGCAAGTCAAATATATTGCAACATCCAAAGATTTTAATGAAAAATGTTCCTCCATTGATTGAACAATGTCATAAAATCTAGGGCTCAAAAACCTAAACGTGTTGAATGCTCTGTATAATCTTAAAAATGTCTAATATTTAAAAAAATAATATTGATCTACTTCTTGGTTTGTATTTCGTAATCCAGTGCTAAAGACCACTGTTTCTTAGGCTGGCATCGTCCAAGAAAATCCCTGAATTGAATCTCAGAAGCGGCACCTTTGAAATCAGAAAAATCCAACTGTATCTCTTTTTCCCTAGACTACAAATAAGCATTTTAAATGTTCCATTAAGCAATTTTCCCCTATCAGAAGGTACAGATAACATGAAACAATGAATGCTAAATTTTTGTGCACAAGTTTATATTTATACCATACCTGCACCATAGCAGCAAGGTTTTGTAACTCTCTAAGCTTCTGTTTTGCAGCTATAAGTCTATTGATCTTCTGCTCAAACTCGGCATCTCCAGCCACATCACCCAGGCTGCTTCTGTGACTAGACATGGAATCTTCACTAACTCGATCTTCTTCCACTTCATCATCTTCACCTTGGGGTAGATCGAGGTGTTTGGCATTCTCCCTATTATGACAGTCTGGAATAGCGAGAGGAGGAAACACAACAATACCAAAGACACATTACTGAACTTCTGAAGTCCACTGTAATTACTGGATATTAGAAAAATATTAGCTTAATGATAAGGCTCTTGAATACTCTGCTCATTAAACAAGGGTCTCCCAAATGCTGTGCAGATATCAGAGTTATTTGCACTAAGAAGTAAAATTATTGCAGGATTTTAGAACATACCTAAAGCAGAAGACATTTTTAGAGTCCTTATATTAGCAGCAGATCTGTTGTTTATTTCACAGTCTGTATTAAGATGTCTTCCATCTCTGTTATTAGTTCCACACTGTACATTTGAGTTGCTATTTATTTCACTCCAACTACTGATTCCTGGAGGGTTTCTAGGGTGAAATCAATTACTCATGTTAACCTTTTAAAAACTGGTATGGATACAATTTTCCTTCAGTCTTTTTCTACCTTTTTTATAAATAGGTGTTCTGACCACTCCTCCTAAAAAAACCCAACAAAACCCCCAAATGAACAAACAAACTCCAACCCCATATAAAATCCATCCAGACACTGGGAGGTTTTCCATATTCATCTCTCCAACAGATTACTTTTTTTAAAAACAATCAAAGCAGCTTTAAATTATCCCCTGCTATATCTGCAACAATACATTAGGCCTTACAGGTGTATGTCTACATTATAAAAGCTTTATATGATGCATAGCTGAGTGACTGTTCATTTCTACCAGGTGAAGATCCTCAATGCACACAGGAGCCAGACTATAGCTGTAAACTGAAGGGTTTTTTCTTCCAATTCTCTAGTCTAAGACTGTCATCTTATAGTGAAATTCCATACACATAATTCAGTACTTAAACCCAAAGGAATTTCAGACTTTTTAAGTCTTATAGTGATTTTCTAAATATTCATGCTAATCTAAATAAATAAGACACCAAGGATTAGATAATTATTAAACATCTGTGTAACAGTTACCTCAAGTTAAAAAAATCTGTACTTTTGTTACCGTAAAAAGCACAGATTTAAGTTACTTCTGTTGACTCAAATAAAGCATTGCAGGTTTCCTGAAGTAACAACTCAGCTACAAAGACTTTGGATAACAAAAAGTACAACAACCTAATATTTGTAACAGGCTGTGGATGCTCATGTTCAGAATCACTTTCTGATTCTTCTGTTTCTTCCTCCTCCTTAGTGTTTTCATTCACAGCATCTGTCATCATATCAGATGTCTGCTCATAGTAGTGAACTAACTCACGTAGCTCATTCAGTCTCTTACGAACCTCATTTAGCTTCCTGAGGAGGAAAAAAAAAGAGTATTTAATCTGTTTTGCTGTATTATGCTAATCAATGTAGACTTAATACATATACTCTAAAGTTCTTAGAAGTTACTGTCAGTTTTCAAGAACTCTACACTTTAAGCTCTGAATTCAGGTAACTGTATTAGATTGTTAAGTAATCTGTAATACTAAATTAGGTAGATCAAAAAATGGAAAAAATGGAAAGAGTTACTCAAAACTTATTAAAACTTACACAAAACTTATTTAAAAAGTAATACTCCAAATTACTAAAGCAACACTGAAAAAAATGAAAGAACTTTTACTGAAGCTTTTCTGTTGGATTTAGATTTTCGTCCTCTTCACTCTCATTTTGAGAAACCAGGGAATCAGGAGGATAGGGAGCAGATGCCAGACTATTTGGTTCACCATTGACAACAGTTACTATGCCTACAGGACCAGAAGCAGCTGAAGTTGTACTTCTTTGATCAACACTCCTTTGAGGAGAACCTGAAGCAGGAAAAACTACAGAAAAGAAATAAAGCTTAGGTGAACAATTCGTAATAAGGAATCTGCTTAACTGAATTATATTAAAATAACAACAGAAAATATTATCAATAAACAAAACAGCTGTTAATAACTTCTTTCCTTAGCAAAACAAAAGTTTTTTTCCTAAGTTTCACTGCATGCAATGTCAATAGGCAGTGAGTAATAAGGTGTAAACAAGATTTCAGTTATTCCCTTTTAGCTTTATCAAATGTCAGAAGTAGAAACTTTCATGCTGTGAATCTGCCTATAGAGATTTTTCAAGGGTTTACTTAGGGCTACATTGCTTTTTTATAAAAAGTTAACATTTTAGAAATTTGATCAAAAGAAAAATCCTAGCAAATTTTTCACCTCTGCTAAGTTCTTTTGTCCATTTGCTGTACAACAAACTGGATGTTTGCTTCTTCTGGCTACATGAAATCATATCCAAATATGTTCATCTTATATGCACTAAATACATACAGAAAAATTGGGCTACAGTAACATAACTATTATATCAGCACGTCCTTCTCCAAGCGCGCGCTTCAAGGCCTCATTTCTCAATGCTAACCAGAATATGCTGTGATCACCCCTCAGAGGTTTTCAGCCACAGGACAAATGTCACCAGTACAAATGCATTGTTAGAAACAGAGAGCGAGAGCAGCAAGTTGACAGGTCTGCGTGAACAAGCAGAGCAGAAAGTCATTAAAAGAAAAAGCCAAAGCTCTAATCCAGTCAGACAGGTAAGGCCCTCTAGAATGGCCTGTGATTGAAGCCCCTGCCACAAGAGCACATGAAAGCCTTTTGACAGAGAGGGAGCACAGCCATATTGCCATAAAGCTACTAACACATGAAGTGCTGGGTACACAAATGCAAACATATTGTGATAAAAATACAAAGCTCATGTTCATGTGGCTCTTTTTTTCACAAGCCAGATGTGTCACACACAAACATCACATCCTCACATCAGTCAACTTCAGTGTTATAAATGAAAGCGCTAACAGTCATCATCATTGAGTGCTAAGACACTACCATCATTACTTGTACAGTTTTTTGTTAAGACAGAAACTTATACAGCATTAAAAAACATTTATATTAATAGTGCCCCAGCACACTTTTTATCACCAGCATTTCGTTGACCAATTGCAATCTCAAACACGTTACAAAACACGCACATTTAAAACATGGTATTCATGAAAAAAATATAGTTCTGCCTAAAATGACTTACAGGAAGAGTTGTTTAGATGTTGGTCACGAAGTGTATGAAGTTCTCCTAGTAGTTTGTCCATCTTTTGCTTTTTACCCTGCAACATTCGCATCTTATTAAAAAGCTGTGCCTTCTCATCTGACTGGTGTTCAGACATTGAAGAGTTTCTGCTTTGTGAAATCTCTCTGGTAAGTGAAAGGCTTTCTGCTTGCCTTCTATTGTCAGGCACAGACTGTGTCTAAAAAGAGTAATTCCATTTTATTCAGAGTACAACAAAAAAAAGGTCAATAAACTGTAAGAAACAAAAAGCTTTCTCATGGACCTTCTATATGCAACACCAGAATCAACACCAAAATAAAGAATATTATAAAGGGAAATAGTATATACTGAGAACATTCTAATGCCATCCCAATAATATAGTGAGTTAATAAATAAATTGCAATAAAGAAACTACTTCTCTAGACTTTAACAGAAACCCATGAGACACAAAGCATAGATCTGCCAGCTAATAACCATTAGGAATTTTCAAGTTTGCTGAGTTTTCAAGTTTGGGGGGAGCTCTGATAACTTCACTAGCAAATACACACAGATGAGCAAGACAAACATTGAACTGGACTGTTAAACAGAATAAAAATTGATAATGGCAAAATCTATACGGTACAATCTCAGGACTAACCTGAGAATCATGAAGTTGGTTGTGAAAGCGTTGAATTAAGTCATTCAATTCTTCATTCAGTTCTGATGTAAGACTCACTCCTGAAACACTACCTGTAGTTTCTGTTACAACTGGGCATACAGAAAAAGGGGAAAATATAAATATTTTTCTACAGAAATAAAATAAAGGCTAGTTAAATAAAAATGTGTGGTTTAACGACATCAACATACTGACCCTCTAAAAATACAGCATGTATTTTTAATTTTGTGTCCTTTCCACCAGCTTTACTCTTGAAAGATGACTTATGCTACAAAAATACTAACAAGACAACTCAGAGCTGCTTTGTAAGGGACCATACAAAACGACTTTAGCCTTGCTCTGTGTTTTGCTAAAAAGGTCAGAGCAAAATGAAAACAACTCATTTGTCCAAGGCTGACAGAAACTTATTAGAAATAAAACGGCAATTATTTAATATAGCTAAACAATCAACAGTGCAGGTAATTTCACTCTCTCAAAATAATAAATTAACAGGACACCAAGCTTTCATATTGGTATAAGTTGCAATATTTACATCTACAAATGGTGTCTTGGAAACTTCTTGGAAGGTTCTTCAAGAAGCTTCATGAGAAAAATAAATTTTAAAAAATTTTTTTTTTGCCTTTGCCTCAAAGTTCATATTCAAACAATACTAAATATGCAAGTGGCAGTTGAAAGACCCAAATGATTCTTTATACTTTCCCCCCAAATACAAACCAACAGGTCATAAAGTCAAACACAAATATTATTTATTTTCCCCACAGATTATGACTTCATTACACACATAGTAAAGTTTCACTGTTTTCAAATTTCAAAAACATTTATTTTGCCGTAAGTTGAATTTGAATCTTATCATTGAGTAGACAAATTCTTAGGAGAAAAACTAATGCTTTTAGGATTTTACAGGTAAACCACAATAATCAGTGCCAGGTTTTTAAATAACACGTCATTGTATAATGTTACATTGTCAACTCTTCAGAAACAGAGGCTTTGAGATAAAAAAGCCTTTTTAATGTGTATTTCACAATTCTAGCTTTAATCATTCAGTCAGCATGTTAACATGCTATAAGAGACACCATCATTCCACATACCAGAATCATCCAGGACAGCAATGGCTTGTTCTGCTTTATGCTGCAAAGCAAGAAGAGCTGCCTGTCTTCCTTGAAGAGCCTTTAATTCTTCCTGCTGTTGTAGCATCCTTTTCAATAAATCATGCTGTTTCTTCAAGTTCTCCAACTCTTCTTTAGCTTCCTGCTGAGGATCTCTGGCCTGCAAGAGATGGAGCAACATTACCATAGCTACAACCATTTATATGCTGAGAACCAGTAAAAGAAGCACCAAAGCAAGAACAACTTGTATATAAATTAACAGCCTGGTTAATGGAAAAAAGCAAAAATGAAACAGCTCCACCTTTCTGACTGTTCTTTATTAAAAAAAAAAAATCCTCAGACATCCAACAGGAAGAAACCTGTATCACCAAAAGGTGCTTATAGCTCCAGAGGGTTTAAGTTTTCTTTTTCTTTACAAAGCCAGTCAGCTTCCCTAATGTGACCCAAAGACTAACCAAAGCCTGCCTCGGTCTTTTAAATCATAACAGAGGGTATTAACCTTAAGACTGTTGAAGGTAAGCAAGGTAAGGCATTGCATCATGGAGCTATATAAAACAAAAGGTATCAATTGATTTACTGGCCTAAAATCTCTACAATTTTCAGAATCATGTTTTGGTCACTATCTCATTTCTAACCTATAATGTCTTTAATTCTGTGTGCTGTACTTATGGCATTGATACTAGAATACATCAGATTTGGTTAAATCAATTTCATAACAAAAACAGGCATAGAACCCTGTCTACATTGTTTTCAAACAATATTTTGAAATAGTTCTGGAAGAATGAAAGCATGCTGAACAGTTAAAATATATTAAAACTCACACATTTTCCTCATCCAATGCTAATTAAGACCTGGAGATTTGCATCAAAACTTTTACTCAAATTAAGTATTTTAATAATGAGACATTAATATCCTGATCCTGCCTGAAGTTGCCTTATGGCACTTTGCACATGAAATAATGGAAAATAACAAGCATCTACAAAGAACACTACTAAATTGAAAGCATAATCTTCTATCCATACAGTATTAAGTTTCTAAAGTAGAAAATTCAGTCCAAATATTCCGCATCACATGTCAGATTAGAAGCAGGCATCTTATGAACTAGTTCTGGGTACTAAGGAATGCTCAACTTTCCAGCAGAGAAAGCTGAAAACATCCAGAATTCTAAACTCAAAGTGTCAGTAAAAGATGGAGTGCAACAAACACTGAAGATTGCTGTTTAACCCTCACCTTCCATATGAACAGCAGAGTAGAGTCCAAATAGATCACACACTGAAATCGGCACAGGAAGGAACAAGGGGAACAAAGGGAACAAGGGTGTATGTCTCAGCCTCACTCACCTATGAAATAATCCAGGCTTTATCTAAAGTACCAGATCTGCTTGAGTTCATGAAAACTGCTTTTAACAAATTTTTCAAACTTAGTTCTACATTTAGACTAGTAAGCTTGACAAAACATTTAAGTCTTTTATTTTTGGGGAAAAAATATTGAAGACTTTTTAAAAATTAAATCACAGGAAGGACAACAACATAAACAAGCTCATCATGGGTAAAAAAAGATGCTTTAGAAAGTTTTCAAGACATCTTGAAAGTTTTCCTCCTTCCAACTAAATATTGGTATCAACAGCTATGGAAAAACACTTGTGGAACAAGTTAAGGCTATTAATTTCTAATTTGTCTTCGGTATTTGGTATTAGTTTAAATGTGCATTGGCAGACCATTAGTGTAACCATGACAAGTGTCTGAAAGTCACATTTACAACGTTTTCCCAAGAAGGGAACAACAAAACTTAGAAGGATGATCTACATAAAATCATAAAACCTGCTGTACAGAGTTACATCAATTCTAACTTTCAATGCTAACAATTCCGAAGAAAAAATTGTGAAACATTTCTATTCAAAGAAAAAATATTTGAGGCCAAGAAGACTAATCAATGAAAAGACAGCTGGATACAGATAAGCAATCCAGTGGGAACATTCACGGTAAGTAACAAGTACATTTGAAGCAATTAATAAGACTAGCCTGTATAAATCCTATTTGAAGCTAAAGTAACATTTTGAAGTGTACCTTTGAAAGCAATCCATGATCCTGGCTATTAATCCCACAAGACCAGATTTCCCTGCCATTCAGAGCAGCTCTCTGTCCTTTCCCTTTGGGGCTTGGTGTAACATCAATGTCTGTAACCTGTTCTCGTGCAGTTGAATTCCCTAGTTTGTCCTCAATGCGGGGCCGACAACTCAAACTAAAAGATACCTCCTATATTGAATAGTTTAGTATGTTAGAATTTGAAAATGCACTCCAACTTAGCATATATTTTTAAGTTACAAACCTACCCACTTTATTTTGTCAAATAATGAAAACTACTATCTAATAACATCTACTAAAAAGTGAAGACCATTTTAGTCATTCTTAGAATTTGCACAACAATAGAGCTCCATATAGCAATCAACATTATATGACCAGAAGTATGCACTCTGCATGTAAAACATTCAAGCTGCATGTAAAGAGAGCTTAGATGCAAAATTAAGAGCCAAACAAAAAACTCAGTGCAAATTTTGCAAATATTGAGACAACTGCAAGTTTATACAGACAATTCTTAAAAAACATATGTTTTTCTGCATTATCTTTTTGCATAAAAAATTTAATTTTTTAAAGTTAAAAGTGCATCTTCCATGTCTATCATTAAATTTCCTTACAGACACAGAAAGGGTTCTTATAAAGCTAAAAATAATTACAAAAGCTTCTTAATGTTTTAACTGTTTTATTCCCAAGCAAGTAAATTCTCCCTATGCATAGGACATTCAGTGTGCTAACTGGCCAAAAAGAGTACCTCCCCTCTGGTACTTTTCCTCAGTGTAATAGAATCGAAGACACAAAACCTAAGTTATTAAAATGCCTTTGTATCTACTACAAGATATGTTTACCACGTTAAAAAAAAAGCTTTTATAAATAGAAAGGAAGATTGGACTGTTTATCTCAGCACTAAATTCAGAACACATTTTCTGAGGAGGTGCCCATCTTCCCAAAAAATGAGAGAAACTTCTGTGTTAGGTCAATACTTCTATCTTGTCACTAGAAAGATGCTTGGACAATGGCCCACTAATGATACATTTCTAACTCCCCCCTCACCCAATACCCAAAAACTTTCCCCACTAACAGAAACAAACCTAGAGATGAAAAATTGTATAGAAAGGTATTTCTTCCTACAACAAATGAGTGAGTTCTCTGCCAAAGTACACATTCAACTCTTCATTGTACTTTGAAGAAAGAATAAAGATTTAAAAGATTCTTCAGATTGCTGTTGTGACAGAATCATTACTTTTTTCTCATATTAAAAAAATAAACCCACACATGCATGGACACCTCTTTAATGGAGTGCTTGGGGATTTACTATTTTCAAATTGAACTGCAGATTATGACACTATCATAAGACCCATGAAAAAACCAAAATAAAGCCCTAATTTCTACCTTAATTGCTAAAAGGCAGCTTACCGTGGTATCTGAAGCCTCAGACTGCACATCAATGTTTAGCGATGTGCTCTCACCTACAGAACCAGATCCCACAGCTGAATCTATAGTCCGAACATCATCCTCCTCATTTTCTCTAGCCTGAAATATTTCATTAGCACAAATCAAAAGCTATATAAGGGGGCAGCAAAAATGAATTATGGAAGGTACTACATACCAAAATCAACACCTTCAGTAGCACCATCAAAACATAAACGGTCAACTCCTAAAAAAAGCTTACAGTGCAGAAACAAACATATTATGTTCTCAAACTTACAAGCATCTTTTGCAAAAATTTCAGATAGGATTTCTCCTGCTCTTTAAGGTCATCTATAAGGTGCGATAAACGCTCAACATTGGCCGATCTCTCATTTTTCTCTACAAGATCATCCCGCATGGAGCTGGCCTTAGCAATATAGTCGCGAATCTGAACTAGTCTGCTCACAATCTGCAAAGACACTGAAGTTACTGAATGCATTCAGCTGCAACTGCAATGTATTCAATGCACAAGACAGGGACAGCAACAGCAAAGGAGTAATGAAAGGGAGACAGGTTAGTACTTTCACTCCTCTGAGCGCTCTTCCACAAGTGGTTAAAAGTCAACAGCCTTTATAAGGACAGATTTATGCATGCAGGAAGTTGCAAGGCTGAAGCACAGGGCTTCTGGTCAACACAGGCTAGAACACAACTGAGCTCATCAATGTAGGAAAACAGTCAACTGTGAGAGCACTTTCTGGAGCCACATAAAAGGGAACCAACCTCTAAAATGAAAATTATTATTACTTCTGTTACCAACAAGCAGATTTCTAAAGAACAGTAGATTATTAAGTGTGGTTTCATGTTTTCTTCACGTTTCAGAAGAGCAGAACTTAAATATTTCCACTAAGAATTTATACTTCGAAGACATTTAGAAAGCAGCACTGAAGATTAAGAGTCAATATTTTGCAGACTTTATAGGCTGTGTAAATACCTGGCTACTATCCATCGTTTGTTCTCCCCTTCCATCTTCTTGAGCAGATGCTTGACAATTTTGCAAGAAATCCTTGCTTAGAGCAGCTCCAAACAACTCTTTACATTGCGCTGATACCCCACCTTCCTTTTTTAGGGAAGCTGAGGCAGGATCTTTGCTTTTGTTAGTGTTAATCTGTAGTGACAGGAAGTTGAATGGTTTTTTGTTCTCATTAAGTTGACGTTTGTTATTAGCAGCCGTTGCCCTGCCTTGCGAATCACTTCCAATGCTTCTCTATATACAAACAAAAGTAAGAAAAAATGCTTTATTTTTTCATCCAATATGTTCTCAATACTGCTTTTTTTTTCACTGCTTGTATTACTATTCCTACAGTATTATTAGACTGATTTTAAAGTTACCTAATCAGTCATCAACTGGCCAAAAGTTAGCTGAAGACAGTGCCAATGATTTTTTGTCACAAAGTCTTCAGAAAGCAAATCCATCCTCCCAGAACAATGAGAACCAAAAAACATTTGGTAGTTTCTCAGCATTTAGTTCCTCATTTTTGCTGTGAACTCGATCTTTACTGTAGCAAAAGGCAGTCTACTTCTCCAGGTACACTTGAGGAAAGAATAGTAATAAAAGAGTAGCACATTCCTGTGCAGAACATAATACCTCAAAACTTCAGCTTTTCTTTAAAACCTTGTGAATAGCAACATGTTGCCATAACATATATTTGAGCAGGAAGTTTTGCCCAGCCTTTAAACTGTAAATCAGCACAATAAATCACACTGGAAAGAACCATCATAACCAAAGAAGTCAGCAACAACCTTTGGTAATGATGAACTAGCCTCCGTTCTGAAATCGTTAGCACAAATTTATGCCTTGTTCCAAAAGACTCAATCCCTCATATTTTTCCTTAGCTTTGGAAAAGGGAAGGATGAATGTGCTGTATTTCCAAAAAAGTAGTTTTGGTTCAAGAATTTGTGCCATAAAATTCTCTGTTCTACTGAGGAGCAGTTTTTAATGATACTCCTCTGCTTAATCCACAAGGGTAACAATGTTCAGGACCACAAACTGGCAGTTTGAGAACAGATTTTCAAAACAAAGTAACAGCTATTTTCAGGTAGCATACAAGTATGATGAGTACGAAATACTGCTCTGAGGACACATGAATTTTATAATGGCTGAGAGCAAGAAAGTGAAGACAGCTATCACACAAACAGAGGAAAGCCATAGTCCTGAACTTTCTCGTATTTCCTGAAGTTCAAAACCAAAATTTTGATTTGGTTGTCATGGTGCCTATAGGTTTGGGTTTTTTTTACCTTGATCACTTATGAAAGGATTGTGTACTCATCTGTCACTTTATTAAGCAATAACTGAATACATTTTGGAGTCACATTTTAGTGGGAGCCAGTATTCACACAAACCTGATCCAGATCACTGAAGTTTATTCTTTGTTTAAGCCTTTCTAGTTCAGCCTGCTCTGGAACAGACATCTGAGTCATGTATCGAGCATGAGGAAAGCTGTGAGTTCTGGTCTTCCGTCGCTCCATTCCAGGGGAAGATTCTGGAGATATGTCATTAGTAAGTCTTGTTTCACCTTCCCCACTAAGCTTTTTCTTGTTTTTCTCTGAAGATCTGTTTGCTTTCTTCTGTTGACCTCCCCAGTCCTTAAGGGGTAGGAGAGAGAAAAAAATAGTATTTGTTATCCACCCAGACAAAAAGCAAATGTTTGCATTCTGTGAGAGAGTTTACTTCCATTTTAGAAGTAAAAATAGCAAGCCACATTGAAGTAAGCACTAAGTTTTCTAGAGCAAATGTCACTTTACAAAATAAAATTTTCCCCACTGCATAATTAAAAATAACTTATCAGGAAATTTTAAATCCATTTCATCCTAAATGCATTAAATTAACTTGTATTTTTCTTCTTTGCTGGGGACTTCACTTTTTAGGAGTTCAGAACATTTTAAATTATAGCTTTCACTTTCCTGTCACCTACAATGTTTTTGTGTCTAGCTACTTTATTTACCCCAAACACTTGTCATAAATACCCCATAGACCTCACAATCTCTGAATTATACCCACAGCTTCCTTACATGTACCTCAGGTTTTCCAGGTAAAGCTGCACTGGATGCAAAGCCATGCATGATGAGGCTTAGGGGTTTGCATTGTTACCTGCCACTAAGAGAATCTAGCTGGTAATTCTAATGTCCAGCACCAAATGGCAACAAAAAGAAAAGAAGAATTGTACCGTGTTGTTCAGCCGGTCATCCAGGCTCTCATTGCTCCAGCTGGGCAAGCCCTGGTCATTCATGCCTTCTTCAAAGGGACCACCTCCTGCTGCCATGACAAGTGATCAATAAAAGCAATCTATAAGGAGTTGAAAGAAATGTGCCGTATTAAAATCAGTTTACATAGAAAATTTTAAAGATTCATGATCTGAGAAGACAACTATATATTCATTATATGATAAAAACAAAAAGCTGTTTAAGAAACTAAACTCCCCATTTACTACGCTCTGTTACTAGAAATGTATCAATGAGAAGAACACAGAAAGTGGCATTAAAAAAATAAAGGAATAGTAGTTGTGAGTTCAGGCCTTTTTAACCTCTGATCTATGAAAGAAAGATTTGGGGGTTTTCTGAGGGTTTCAATTGTCCTTACTTTAAAACAAACTGTACAGTGCTCAGAAAGGCTGCTTTGTAATTCATACAGCCTACACTTCCAGACCCAGGGCGATGTCTATTCGATACAGTAAGTGACTCTGGAGACCCAGAATGTCAAACTTTCACATCCATTTTAATACTGAGATACTGAAAACAGAGTACTGAATGACACACTTGCAAAAATACATGGAAGACAGACGTCAGTAAAAGGATTTTTACTTTCATTACCACACATTAAGCTATTTAAGCAGTGAATGACCTGCCACTAACATTACAGATTCTACCGAAACCAAACAAAATCGTGAGTTCCACAGAGCTTAGCTGCTCTCCATCAGGGTCACTCTGTGCAATAGAAAGTAACTTAAATGTTTGAACTTTCCATTTTCACTTCTTGTTTTGACATTGGAACCAAAAAAAATTGTTAAAGCTGAAAGATCAGAAAAAGTATTCCTTTATGAAAGTAAAATTAGATTAGCCTGTTCCAAAAGGTGAAGAATATGTAACTAACTATATTTGCTAAGTGCTGCTGGCACAATTGCAGTGTAGAGAGCTACAAAATTTAACTAAGAACTGTAACAGATGCAGAAGAAAGGCAGTCTTGCAGAGATTTACTTTTTCCAGCTCGTTTCCACCACTATGTTAGGATATAACCCTAAGCTTAACTGAAAAAATATAAATATAGAAGTTGATAGGAACCACTTTCTCAACATTTTACTGCAACTATCTACTAATTTTCATAGTGCAGGTGAAGAAATCACCCAAAACTAAAGAATACAAAATATTTAAGAAGCTTGTTGGGTTTTTTTTATATCAGTTCCAGAAAGGAAAACTGAAATCTTGAACTAAATTTAAAAGCTGTCCTAGCACATCTATCTTGCTTAGGTATAGGATTCAATCAAACTCCCAGAGTACAGCCCTCTCCAGAGGCACACTCACCAGGCAGTACTCCTATGCAAACACAGCCAGTTACTAAATCACAAAGGAAATGGGATCTAGCAGGCATGCTCCTCACACCATAACCACATCTCCACTGGGCAGCGTGCCAGCCTAGGCCACGGGAACAGTCTGGAGTCATTCCTCTTCTGCATCTCTCAAGCACAACACACAGAGAACAGGTGCAGGGGCCTCTGCCTTGGCAACTCTGCCCTACTGTCCCTGCACAAGGACTCACTCCCTTCTTCATCCCAACAGAGGTGCCCACTAGGCCATGCAACCAGAGGGCACATCCTAGAAAAGTGCACAGGGAAGCTCATGCTAAAACTTACAAGCATCCAAAGCAAATGCATAGCTATCAGTTCAAAAACAGCCATGATTTTAATGAACTATCTCCAGTTACAGATAAACTGCTCAGCTTTGCAGATGTGTAAGACCCAACATTTCACCAGACACTGTATCCTGACCTATGTCACTGAGCATTATGAGGAAGATTAGAGGCCATCTGGGTTTACAGTCCAATTCTCTAAGCTGTTTCCTCATCATCACGTTATATAATTCTACTAAAACCATAGCAAAAGTAGTTTTTCCCTATCTTCCACTCTAAGAAGAAGTGGCAGTACTCATCTCTACATAATACAAGTAACTACTCACATTTATTTCTTCTGAAACTTTCAGAAAACCGGTTCTCAACTATCTTTGCTGTAGGAGACTCCATTACCTCCGAAGTAATTTCACAGCCCCAGATGGAATATTGTGAATTACAGGACTCTGGAATATTGTGAATTACAGGATTCTCAAGCAAGGAGACCCAGCATACATCAACATGCCCTGACAAACACGGCTCAAAAACAAGAGTATCTTCATAATTTCCAGCAAGTGGATTTTAAAGTGTTCCAACAGAACCATCCCCGTACCAAAAAGAAAGTTTCTAAATATTCCTATTATAGTCTTTGGCACTTCCAAATGAACTGTAATCAAGTAAGTAAGATCAGAGAGCTCTGATGGTCTATTACCTCTTTAACTCAGTTGAAAAACACAGAGAGGTTCAGCCAGGTTTTTGTTTCTTTCATATAAGCTGTTCATTCCACCTCCACATATATATTTTACCAATATACATTTTAATTTGTTTTCATTTTACCAGCTACTTTAACAAAAAATCCTCTTCTAAAAACTTTGCTATCTTCCCACTACCTACCTATCTACCTAAAGCAACCAATTCCTAATTTCAGGTTCTTGCAAGTCATAGGATCTATACAAAAGCTTTTGAGCATGTGCCTACTGCCTTACAACATTTACCAGGGACTTGGGAAAAAAATACGACTTTCAACTATACCTTCTATAGAAATAATAACCTGAGATAACATGCAGAATTATAGGCAAAATACGTAAGACAAGAGTCAAAACATTCTGCACATGTATCGGGACGTGAAGACTGCACAGAAGAGACACTACTTAACACAAAGGTATGTACTTCAAAAGGCTTTTTCTACAGTAAAGATGCTCTTGAGAAGTTTTTCCCGTAGCATTCATGTGAACAAAGGAGCTCTCTAGAGCACCTAATACTGCACAGAGGAAACTTCTGACAATCAAAAAAACTTAAACGGAAAACAGAAAGTCACAAAAAACCATCAAAGCACCATAAAGGCTGAAAATGGAGCTAAATACTTCCTTTTAACTTTAGCTTTTTAAGACGTGCACTCCTCACTGGGCATTAACTCCTTAAAAGCAAACCACACAGTATCATCACACAGGAGCAGTCAGCAGAGCAAATTCTCTCCTGCCGCACCGGCCAGCGCTCACAGGAGCCGCACACTCACACAGGCCGGCTCTGGGCGGTGTGTCCGGCACTCACAGCTTCCAGCGCCGGGGCCTCCGCAGCGCCCGCGGGCTCCGCCGTCCCGACCCGCTGCGATGCCAACGGCAGGCGCCGAGCGCAGGCCCGCCGGGTCTCGTCGCCGCCACCGGGGCCGGCTCCGGAGCGAGCGACGGCCCAGCGGCTCTGCCGGCCGCACCGCTCACTGCCTGAGGCGGGCCAGACGCTCCCGGCCGGGGGGCGGCGGGCAGAGATCCCGCTCCTTCCCGGCGCCAAAGCCCGGGCGCCGCGGGCTGCGTGGGTAGGCGGGCTCTGCTCAAGGCGCCTCCGCTGCCGCGAACGCGGCGGCGTCTCCTTGGAGAGCGGATAACGCGCCCTGCCCTGTGCGAGGGGCGCGGCCCGCACAGCTCGCCGCTCCCGCACGGTTTCCCCGCCGCCCCGCACATGCATCCGAGCCCACTGGCTGCCCCGAACCCCCACCCAGGCGGGCCGCCGCCACCAGGGGAAAGGGACGGGGAAGGGGCAGCGCGCCGCGCCACGGGCAGGAGAAGGCGGCTCACCCCGCGCCGGAGGGGAGGTCACCCCGCCTGGCTCCTCCTCCACCCCCGGCCGCCACTCGCGGGGCCCGGGCTGCCCGGACGAACGTTTCGTCTTCGGGCGGCGGAGGAACGGCGGGGCCTCGCTTCGCCCGACGCGGCGGGACCGGGCTGGCCCAGGCGCTCACGACGCTCCTGCCTCAGCCACTGCCGCCATCTTGGCCGCCACTGCGCCGGGGGCGCGGGGGGCGGTTCTAGGCGGAGGGATACAGACACAGACGGACAGACAGACACTCACCGTTACCTGGTAACCTCCGCCCGCCCATGCCCTTCCGCACTGCGCGCGCCCCGCCCGACCCGCACCGCGGAGCGCCCGAGGATCCCCCGCGCAACCGCCGGGGCGGTCGGGAGAAGAGCAGTGGGCGAAGAAACTCCAACTCCCAAGGTGCATTGTGCGGGGGGCGCGGCGCCCCAGGGCCGGTGGCGGTGCCTCCTGGGAGCGGTAGTTTTCCACTCAGGGAACGACCCCGCCCATGGCAGGACTGGGACGCGTCCGGCGCTGTTGTGCGGCCGGCGGAGAATCGCTGAGCGTGTTTTTCTTACAAAATAAAATATGAAAACGGCGATGGACTCTATAAATGCTTTTGCCTGATTGGAAGACAAGTAAAATCGTGTCGATTTTACTAAGCGTGGACGAGGATCAGTCCTGCCCTCGTTTGGAGCAGTTTCGACTGCTCTGTTCCTGTCAACCTATGGTGTGTCTTGCTCCTTAACTTGTGGCAGATAGATGGAGTTCACGCATCTAGGTTCTTTATACTTTACACTTTACTTTGGGGGGAAAAAATATAAATAGAGGGTTTGGCATTTAAAAAACTATAGCTGTGCATAAAAGCCTGTGCGCTGTGCTTGATATTTAACTGAAGTTAAAGAGAATCACAGAATATGCTGAGTAGGAAGCGACTCTAAGATCCAGCTCTTGCCCTGCATAGGACACCCCAAGAGTCACACCATGTGCCCAAGAGTGTTTTCCAAATGCTTCTTGAGCTCTGTCAGGCTTGGTGCTGTGACCACTTCCCGGGGGAGCCTGTTCCAACCACCCTCTGGATAAAACACTTCTCCTAATATCCAACCTAAACCTGCCCTGATGCAGCTTCAGGCCCTGTCCCTGTCACCCCAGGGGAGAGGTCAGTGCCTGGCCCTCCCCTTCCCCTCACAGGGAAGCAGTCCTTCAGGGGACTGGGCTTGCATAACACACTCAGGATTTCTATTTCAGTGAACCTGGTATCGTAGATACGACTTTCATTTGGTGGGGATGGTCCCTTGTCAAAACCCCCAGCATTTTCAGCATTTCCATTACACCGAGTTTCTAAAGCAAAAGCATTTAGCATTCACATAGGCCTCATAACTGATCCTGTTAGAGAAACATTGTACTGGTGCAACATGGAAAGTAGTTAGTCTTCATCTCTCCCACATTAGGACTTATAGTAATGTATTTTGCTAAAGAAATAAAAGATACATGAATCCTTTTCAATGATCCATTAATCTGTCTGTAATCTAGAAAAGAAACTAAATAATTGGAAAAGTGTCAAAATAAAGATGTTTCAATAAAAGTAATTTTGTCATCTCCAGCACATTCCCCCATCCCAAAGTTCTGGATAATACTGAGTGAGTGAAAGAGGTGAGTGTAAGGTTGTCTATTAGAGCAGAATCTTTCTCCCATTTCTACCACAAACTACTTGATTGTATAGCCACTAATGAAATTACTTTGAAAACAATCTACAACAGTTTAAAGGTTGCACTCTGTGTGATGAATATATATTATCAATCTCTACTGCAATTCTACAGCTAATAAAGAAGTTAGTTTATTGGCATTTTATTGTACTTTTAACTACTGTCCTATTTTTCTGAACTCAGGTATCATGTCTGGATATCATCACAATATTGGCAGTCTTGCTGTTGACAAGATGCTTTCTAGTGTCTCAGTGAGAAATCTCCCACAGCATGGCAGGTGGAAGCAGAACTTAAGAGAAAATACTGCCCTTAGTACACTGACCACAATTTATTTTTTTCGCTGTGCCTTATTCTTAAAATACAGCTCCCTCATTCCTATTGTTTCCTGCAGAAAAAAAACCAACCAAACAAACTTACATAAAACATGTAATACGTTTTTAAGGGGAAAAAAATGAAATTGACTCTAGTATGTTTCAGTAACAATGGAGTGTTTTAATATTTTAGTGTAGTCCCTTATATGTCATAACTGTGTGTTTTCTTTTGCACAGTATGAGCTTACAGCATCATTACTCTGATTCCTGCTTGTCATTTGGAGGATGATTTTTCTCTTCTCATTTTCTGCCCCTATTCTGGAATTGGCTGCAAACTTGTTCATGTGTTTTCTTTTCTTTCTGTTTGTTTATTTTAGAAATGGCTCCTCAGAGCCATTTTTCATTTGGGACAGAGAATTCGAAAAGGTACAACAGGCACGAAGGAATCATGGACTGAACTGCAAGATGCATGATTTCCAGCAGGTGGTTCTCCACTACTGTTGTAAAATATCATCTCAGGATTTGGGAATGATTATGAGGCAAAACTCATATGGCTTAAAGAATGTCTTTTTAATTAAATAAAATAAATATCTGGGGGGAAGAGGAGGAGGGAAATCCTATATCAATGCTAATGAGCCTCTACACAGACAGCAACTAAACCCCCCCTACAAAGATCTCTATTATAAGCACTTCCCCCAGCAACATGCTAATGAGTGAATGCTCACAGAAACTGAATGGATTATCTTTGAGATAGCCCAATTTAATTAGGATTGAAAGCCATCTCAGAGACATAATTATATTTTTCTTACACAACTTTTGGCTGTATCTTGTTAATTTCGCTTTATCATTCTAAAGTGAAAGAAAGCAAACAAAATACAGGCATGTAAGGGCTGGGGGCAAGAAGAAGTGAAGGATTAATGTTTTATTGAGACAAAGGAGATGTGAGAAGCATCTGGGAAGAGAGATTTTGAAACCCCCTAAAACAGACACACAGTAAACCAGTAATTAATTAAAACAGTAATTAATTGAGCATTTGATTCAAGCTGTAGTTGTCCACTTTTTCCCTGATTTTATGACAAAGAGGTTTTTGCTGCAAAATTTAAACTGTCCAAAAATGACCAGCCTGCCATAATATGGTTACACTCTGACTACCAAGCTACTATACTAAATGTATTTTTTCTTTCTTTGTTATGTTTGCATAACTTTAGATTGGAAAGATCTTTGAAGGCAAAGAGTTTCAAGTTGATTTGTCTAGGCAGATGAAGTGTCCACTTATCCCTCTAAGGTCTGATGACAAGCTGAGCAGGGTAAGGGGAGAGACACAGGAATTTAAGACCACAAAGGCAAGCTTTAGGCTTGTCAAGATTCACCAATTTAATACTAGTGAAGAAACTAGCACAAAAAGGAAACAATTTTTGATGATCCACTCAAGCAAAACAGTCATCAGAAACAATAAAGGAAAGAGGAATAATTGGAAAGTAGTTATTTGCTAACTTAATCAGAGACCAGGAAATATCTCAGACGGAGAATGGACAGGATCCCCATTGTAAACATTTTCCACATCCTTAAGGGTGCAGAAAGTAATCCTCTTGGTACTGCCATTACCTCCCCCATCTGTAACATTTGCTGTTGTGTGCACTCCAGGTATTACATTCTAGTAAAATATTAGTGACTGGAATCAGACCAAGGGATAAAGTGATGGATGGACCCACAAGACATAACCATGTTTGTTTTATTAAATGCACTTATTTAATACAACCAGCACACACCGGGATCACCAATGCTGCCCTGCCTAGAATCCCTAAGACCATATTTTTCTCATTGTCCTCTTTGAAGTCAGACTCCATTGAAATCTATTTTTAAAACTATTTTAAAGAGGTCCATATAGCGCAGAAGTTGGCAAGGTTATGAGTATTATTTCACTCTTTAGAAATTAAATAAAATTTTACAAGTACCATACAAATATGAGATTTAATCCGTATGTCTGTCTATGTTGTTTAATTCAACATTATATTTGATACATTGTACTCTTAATTGCATAGTCTAATCTTTTTTTTTCCTATTTGTACTCCATTCTCATCTTCAGTTCATTCCTTGGCCAACAAAGATAATCCAAGGAGAAACAAAATATTTCTGTTGCTCTGAAATTACATATTTGACTTAACCAGGTGTATCTGCAGGTTCTTCAGAAAAGTGAGTAGGAACAACCTTTAATACACAATATCTTGGGTGGTTGTTTTATACAATGATATTGCCTAGCTACTTCCACATTATTTCAATTTCTGGAGTCATAACATAAATATGTGCTACACTGAACAAATAAGTAAATTAAAAAGCGAGCAGGAAAAAGATAAAATTATGATAGAGCTTAAGAATACCCTATAAATTTTTAACTCTGATTTGATTCAAAGAAGAAGAATATGAAAGAAGTGACCCCACCACACACAGAGAAATGCTCAGAACCAAGAATTTTCATTTGCAAATTATAATTCTAAGAGGAAAATGTTGTTGATTTTTCCTATTCTTTTTGCTTTGCAGCTGGCAATCTGCAATGTACCTGATATCAGTCACTCCTGTATATTCATAAGTGCTTTCCCTACACTGTATGGCTTCAGTTATGTTGAAGACTTAGCAGCATTAAAATAGTTAGTCTATAAATGCTACACTGAATTCTTCAAAGCCACCTAATATTTTTTTCATATGTGTTTGTATTTCTTTAATTGGGAAGAAATCTGCTGAAGTTTTGGGACATTTTACAGCCACTAAGCAGTTTACAAGGGAACATCGAATCCACAAAAAGAAAAAAAGCCTAAAAATTATGTGGCCTTTTGTTCATAATCAATTGGGCTGACTTCTAATAAAAAAAACTTTTATAAGGAATTCCACTGTAGCTACACAGAGTTGATTCATTTTGTGATGTTCTGCATTTTATCCTATGGCAATAATGCTTTTGAAATACATACTTGCCTTTGTGCTACTGGTTTTGCAAGTATAGAAATAGCCAAGCATGATGGCCTTGCATGTCCAATGACTATATTCACACATGCCAATATATATGCAAAGATTTAAACTAGAGTAATTTTGAAAGGTTTTAAATAGCTTTCTAATCTAAATCTTTACGTCACATTAGTAATTTAATTACTTTCCTGGTTCCTTTCTTTTTCTAGTGGCAGAGATTTGGTACTGTGTCATACTAGTT